AAAGGTCAGTTAGAGAAAGAGGAGGTCTGAATGATTATATTTCTGTCCTTTAGACTGAGCTGTAACTATGTCAAAAATCTGCTGTTAAAAGGTAGGTGGTGTACTGGCCACGCACGCACACACGCACACACACACACACACACTCTCTCAGTCTTTGATTATGTGTGTGTGCAGCAGTTGATCTCTTCTGATTGTTTGTAAATCCTACATGGGCGAAAATTAAATGGAAAAATAAATGTTTTTCTCACCGGGGAAACAGGGATGTGTGTGTGTGTGTGTGTGTGTGTGTGTGTGTGTGTGTGTGTGTGTGTGTGTGTGTGTGTGTGTATCAGGTCATTGAAATGAAAGAGGATGGCGATGGCGCTGCTCTGGCTCTTGGAGGGCAGTATGGCCGCCTCCGCGGGGGTGGACGTGGCCGTGATCATCGCGTTGGCTCGTTGAATGTGCTCGGCTCGTCAGCGCTGCCCGATGGTTGCATAAGCAGTCTGGGATTTAGTCAGCTGTGGCCCCCGGTCGCTGCTCTGCTTCCAGTGTTAAACCTGGTGGCACAGTGTGTGTGTGTGTGTGTGTGTGTAATATAAAAGAAGGAACATGGTGTATTTTGTGTCTGCATCAGTTTAAAGCCTGTGGGAGTGAACTAAGTGGGACTAACCAGAGGCCTTTTCACACCAGGTCTGTGTGTTTTTCGTCCGAACATTTAAAAATAAATAGGACCTCACGCCGTGTCTGACACTTTTGTCTCTGGAACAGGTTCGAGTCGCAGCAGTCAGTGTGTAGTCATTTTTAGAAATGAGAAAATAATGAAACGCACCAAACTCAGTGTGGAAGGTTTGTGGACGACAGATTGAGAGAACGGTGTGAAAAGGCCTGAAGATCGTTGTTGAGGGGTTGGTGTCAAGTTGAACATTACTAGTGATTGACACATACTGTGGTTAACAACGATCTTCATCATCAATTAATCAGTCAATCACTAATTTGGCTGCGTCCTCACTATCAGTGAACACTTGCTGTGAAGAGGAGGCGACACCTCGGTGCTGTAGTTGTGTAACTGGACGTGACGAGGCCTCGGCTGCACGTTTATCTTTTAATTGATCGAAACTCAAGACTGAACCATTTCCTGAAGTTTCCCAGAGTCTTTATCACTGGAGGTTAATGTCTTCATCACGGTGCAGAGTGGTGACGAGGCGCTCTTTTCTTTCACACACTAGATTTGCGAAGTATTTACTCGCCTTATTGGACAAATTTTACTATAATTGTTTATTATTTATTATAAACTATCATTATCATCATTATCATTATTATTATTATTATTAATGAGCTGCTAGACACCTGAACTTCACACCTGAATCACCCACAATTCATCTGATTCACAACATTTCATGGAAACTATGGAACTATTTTACTCAAATCTATTAGTCCGCCGAAAATAACAGCAGCTTTAAGTAATTCAATTCAATTCAATTCAATTCAATTCAATTCAGGAAACTTTATTTGTACCCAGGGAGACATTTAAAGGCACATAGGACATAAAAACACAACCAGTGCAAAAACAATCACCTGTAATATTATATGATAACGACCTAGAAACATGATCGTTAAACAAGATTATTATTCTAACAATCCTCCCCTGTAGTCTCAGTGCACACACACACACACACACACACACACACACACACACACACACACACACACACACACACACGGTGCTGTGTGTGCTACAGTAAGCACTTCTGATCCCGGACAGAAACAAATGACCTTCTCTGTTTACAGCTCCTGCTCTCCCTCCTGTCTGTGTGTGTGTGTGTGTCTGTGTGTGTGTGTGTGTGTGTGTATTTATCACATGTGCGAGCACTGCCGTATGTCCTCTCTGCCATTTATCACCCAAACTGACTCCCCCCCCCCCCTCCCCTCACCTGCTGGTGTCAACTGCTCTTCCTGTTCACTTCACACACTAAACATTACACCCCCTCAGAGGAACACAGGGGCCTGTGGAGGGGATGACAGGTACCTGAACTGCTGTGTGTGTGTGTGTGTGTGTGTGTGTGTATTGTCACGTAGTCGGTGACTTAACGCGATGAAATAGAGTATGACAACTCGCAGCTGCTCAGTGTATCACAACAGTATTTTGTGCATCCTGAACTGGACCAGAGATCAGATCCAGCAGATAAATGTAATTTGTGTTTAGATAAATAAATATGAGAGCAGACAGACTCATAAACACTTGCTCAGGGATGGAGAGAGGCGGCTCTCCAGCACTTCAGGTTATGTAATGTGTGTGTGTGTGTGTGTGTGTGTGTGTGTGTGTGTGTGTGTGTGTGTGCGTGTGCTCAGCTCTGGCGTCCCCTCGGTGAATAGATTCACTTCAGCCTTCACTGCAGATAATTAGCATTTTCAGTGACTATCACTGCAGATCAGAACAGACGGAGCTGCAACATCAGCTGCTTGTTGTTCATCACTAACCATGAGATCCACACACACACACACGTACGCACACGCACACACAAATGCACACACACACACACACACACACACACAGACACACACGCACACACACACACACGTCTTTATTCACAGAAGGTGTAGACAACCAGTTTTCACATATATTTTAAGCTGTTTAAATATTTAAATATCACAGTTCGTGTTATTTATCTTTTATATCACCTTATGTGATGAATTAATTAACAGTTCCTAATAATTCCAATGATTATTATTCATAATTATTTTTGTGTAATCATGATGTCATTTTTATTTTGACTTAATTACATGATGTCTATTATTGTATGTTCATCACATGTAAATTACATGAAGGTGTATAAAAATCTGTAATTACAAAACAACAGCAGCTAATAATAATAATATTGATAAACTGGGAGCTAACTGGAGCAAACTGCAGGATCCATGGTGGTAGATTGCTCCAAAAATTTACACAAAAATTTCAAAAATCATCAATCATCAATCATATATATATATATATATATATATGTATTATATAAAACTTGTATTAATCTAATATTCTATAAAATTTCATGCGGATGTAAAATTGCTAACCTTGTCAGATTTATGCTGGAAGCTAAAAGGCTAGCTAGCGTTACAAAGTATCAGGATAGAAATTTTAAGGAAATCATTAACATAGAATTAAAGTCATTTAAATTTACTGTATATTTTATATTTATAATGAAAATAATAAAAATGATTTTTTTTCCCTCTCGTTTCTACACAGTGACACCAGCTGTTAGCTGCTGCTGCTGCTGCTGCTCTTGTTCTGCCTGAGCGTCCGTTCCCCAGTTTTTCCCTTGGTCCGTTCCTTAAATCAGTCCCCAGCATGAGTTCCTCTCCGCTGGTGTCCCGAGCCAACATGGACATCCTGGACGAGCTGCAGCTGATCGCAGCCCAAAACCTGGAGCGGCTGGAAGTCAACAAGTACTACGAGGTGATCCGGGAGCTGGGCAAAGGCACCTACGGCAAGGTGGACCTGGTCATCCACAAGATCAGAGGTGAGGGGATAAGACCTGTGACCACATGTTGTTGTAATAAAAAAAAGATCTTTAATCATGAAAAACAACACATATCAATCCTGTTTCACCCAAAGGTACAAAAATGGCGCTGAAGTTCCTGAAGAAGAAGACGACGAAGCTGAAGTCGTTCCTGCGGGAGTACAGCATCTCCCTCTACCTGTCTCCCTGCTCCTACATCATCAACATGTTCGGCATCGCCTTCGAAACTGACGAATACTACGTGTTCGCACAGGAGTACGCTCTGGCGGGAGACCTCTTTGATATCATTCCCCCACAGGTATCATTGCTTCATTTCATCATTGCTTCTGGGTCAAGGGGGACGAGTTCTTAAAAAGTTAAACTACTGTAAAACACCGTACACCATACACTGTATTTTGAAATCTTGTCATTGAATGTTAGACATTTCATGTATTTAGTGTATTTTCTGTGCGTTATTACGTTTGTACGCATCATATCCGTCGGGTTCAGGAGTGTTAAAGACCAAATACAGACAAACAAAAGAGATTTGGTGGGAAAAATTTAATTTAATAAAGAAAACCAAATTTACAAAACAGGCAAAACAGAACTGAGAAATAATCCAGGTAAAACTCAGGAACAAAGACGGAAAAAAGACGGACTGACAAAGACAGACTTAAATACACAGGTGAACACAGGTGTAACAGATTAGGGCGGGGCAGACAATCATGATGGAGGGAAACAGGAAAAAGACAGGAAGTAAAATGACCACCAGATACACGAGGACCTCTTCTTCAAAATAAAACAGGAAATAAAAATGTCTGAACATAAAGTGTAGGACAGACCATGACAATATCAGCAGCAAGGAACTGACAGTTTATAGTTCATGGTGAAACAGGTAGAGGTCTCAGTGAATCCAAGCATTTTGATTGGACGAGGCTTCTGCTGATATTTTTCATTTAATCAACACAACAAATTTGAAAAGCCTAGATTGGACATTGTATTCTGTGGTCAGCTGGTAGCCAGGCAGACCACGGTGAAGCAGAGTGACACCAATTAGCATAAATGCGTAAATGAATGCATGTGCTTCCCCTACGCCAGGAACACGCTGCCTGCGTGGCGGCTGCGTCGCTCAACTGAGTTTGTTGGATTTCTTTTCATTATTAAAGTAATTAATAATTTTGAATTTAGTTTTGACAGAAAACATCACTAATATCTCACCGTCTCCACATGCAGCTGCTAAAGTGGTTAAAAAATATATTTATATATTTCATGTCTGTGTCATATTCAGATTCAGTCTAGACAGGTTTATAAAATGTTGCTGGTATGATGTCACTATGACATCAACAGGACTTCTCTCTGTCTATTTTTGATTGGAGACATGACGCAACTGATAGGTGAGAGAGGCGTGTCTTACACAGGCGGTGTGTTCGCGCTAACATGTTACCATGGGAGCTGAAATGAAAAACAAAATGTTCTGCAGCCGCCACGCAAACGCCAGGGCTTAGACTGCACGTGTGGAATGAAGAAAGAAAACAAAATCACTTGCATATCAACATGTAATATATTTTTCTTTTGAGAGCAGATGTCCCGATGAGGAACGAGGCAGAATGACATACTGTTAAAAATGTTCAGCGATATATTTTCTATATACACGATGTATTTCTGTGCCCCGTCTCTCAGGTGGGTCTTCCTGAGGCGGTGGCAAAGCGCTGTGTGTACCAGGTGGCCATCGCTCTGGACTACCTGCACTGTAAGAAGCTGGTCCATCGTGACATCAAGCCTGAGAACATCCTCATCTTTGACAGAGAGTGTCGTAAGGTCAAGCTGTCCGACTTTGGCATGACGCGCCGCGCTGGCTCTCCCGTGAAAAGAGTGAGTAGCAGCGATAGTTTGTGACCTCTTCGTATTCACTATCTTGTTGTATCCGTGGTGGTAACCTGTTGAGCTTCCCCTCCAGGTGAGCGGCACTATCCCCTACACAGCCCCCGAGCTCTGCGACGTGTCCCGCCACGAGGGTTTCTGCGTGGACTACAGCACCGACGTCTGGGCCTTCGGCGTGCTGCTCTTCTGCATGCTGACCGGAAACTTCCCCTGGGAGAAGGCGCTGCCCTCGGACTCCTTCTACCAGGAGTTCATCCGCTGGCAGAGGAGGAGGACGAACACGGTGCCGTCGCAGTGGAGGCGCTTCACCGAGCAGGCCCTCCGCATGTTCCGCCGCCTGCTCTCCGTGGAGCAGGACCGCCGCTGCTCCGTCAAAGAGGTGTCCGAGTACTTCAGCCACTCCTGGATGCTGGACGCAGAGAACAACAACAACAACGGCAACACAGGAGGTGGAAGTGGTGGAGAGAGGGTTGGCGGTGGAGGGGGAGGAGGTGGAGGAGGAGGAGGAGGAGGAGTGCGAGGAGAGGTGACAGGCACTATCTCATCATCTTCCTCCGGGGAGGAAGATGAGGAGCTCCTGGTGGAGAGGATGAAGCAGCAGACTTTATCTCCTTTCTCTCCTCTGTCGCCCCTCTCTCCCATGTCTCCGGTGGCGGTGGAGAGGGGTAGCGGCGGCGGGGGAGGGGCCAAGGGCGGGGTGATGGAACCGGGTGGCGGCCACCACTACGTGTCCGTCTCCACCAACAGCTCCGTGTCGTCCACCAACAGTTACGACCGCATGCCGCGAGAGAACAGTTCACCGGGCGGCCGCATGCTGGTGGCCACGCCCATCGAGATCTGCGTCTGAGCGCCGACGTCACAGACTCACACACACACACACACACACACACACACACACACACACACACACACACACACACACACACTTTTATACCTCTCATCAAACACGTAGATGTGCATGCATGGAAACACAGACAATACTAACACGTATCCCGTTGTAAACATGGTGGGGATGGAAGAGCAGCGCGTGGCGGACTTCAGAGAGCAGACGCTCCTCGCCAGGGTTTTGGTTCAGAGACTCCGGAGGAGCCTCGTCTTCACTGCGGAGGTGAAACCCCGGAGGGGAAAACGAAAAAGCAGCTTCCATTAGAGATCCTGTCACTTAATCCATCTGAGAAGACCAAGACCAAAACGTATTTCTTAAAGCAATACTTCCAGCAGAAACATCAGAGACAGAAAGTGTCAGAGAGCCGAGCGATCGAGGCCGAGCGTCAGAGGATTTGTATTTTTGAAGAAGACAAAAACAGTTCGAGGAAAAACCTTAAAAAAACTAAACAAAGATGAGTGAGTGGTGGTTTTAAATGTTTCATGTGTAACACAAATGTGAACGTGTGTGTGTGTGTGTGTGTGTTCTGTATGTATCCAAAAGAAGTGGATTTATTTTGCTTTGAGAATTTTATTATTTATTTGAATCTAAAAAGACAACGCTCTATTTTTTCTATTGTTTTTTGTTTGTTTGTTTGTTTGTTTATTTTTTTGTAAAGTAGCTTTTCTTTGTTTTCTGTTGTAACTTGGTGTTTCAGGCCGAATCCACTTCAGCTTGTTGATTTACATGTTGGGATCAGATGCACACGAGCTGCGACCAGTGGTTTCTACTGGTCGACACATCTGGACTGAGAGAAGGTTTATGATGTCTCTGTTCTTCATGACAAACAAATCTACTTCACCGTTCAAAGGCTGTTTTGTACTCGCTCTGGAAATTCAGTTTGTCCTGTAAAGCTTCTGTTTCAGGTTCAGTTTGTATTTCTCATGTTTCTGATTCTGTTCTCTTTGAAACTTTTAACGCAAAGTATCGTCTGAAAAGAAAAGAGTAACGGTCTGGGTGTCATCAGATAATCCGTAATTCATTTGTAAATTTAAAAACGGGAAAAAAAAAACAAATCTGTTATTTGCTTTTAAAATAATGTTTTTTTTGTGTCAAAATCAAAAAACGAAAAACCAATTAAAAATGGTCTGTTTTTAGTTTTCTGGCGATTACTTTTATCATTATTTTAGTTTGAAACCAAATTCACATGGTTTTATTAAGATTTTTAATTCTAAACAAAAAACGGTTCAATTTTGTTTGTTGCAAATTCATTTTTTCAAATTTCATGTAGTAGTGGAGAGACAGGAAGAGGAAGTGAAGTGTAAAAAAGTCAAAATAAAAGCTAAGCGGACATATTCATATGAATGAATGAATGAATAAATAAATGAATACATGTATGCATTTATTTATTCATTCATTCATTAATATATATATTAGTATATCCTGTGCTTGCTTAATGTTACACTTTTATGTCGTCTTGGCTTTTATTTTGACTTTTTTACACTTCACTTCCTCCTCCTGTCTCTCCACTACTACATGAAATTTGAAAAAATTAATTTGCAAAAAACAAAATTGAACCGTTTTTTGAATCAGATTTTGTGGCTTTTTGTTTGGAAACAGAAAAATGAATAGAGAACGTGATTTCACTTTTTGTTTTTGGTTTCTACTTAAATAAAGATAAAAGGAATTGCCAGAAAAACAAAAACAGACTTTGATTGGTTTTTCGTTCTTTTGATTCTGACACCAAAAACTTTTTTTCTGTTTTGGTTTAGAAACAAATATCAGATTTACATTTACTTTTTTGTTTTTTAATTAAAAAGAATTACAGATTATCTGATGACACCCAGACCAGAAACCATCACTTCACATCTCCAATTCAATCTGAAGAAGAAAAAAAAAAAAGAAAAAAAATCACAGGCCATGTGACAGAGCCACCTTTTATAAACTGCATGACAAGTAGCTCAAACTCACCTTTACGAAAAATTTGAACCGGCTTTACAACAAAAAAACAAAAAAAAAAAACATGAAAAAAAAAGATAAAAAGAATCATAAAATGTTGTGATGTGGAATTTTTGCCGTAGCAGTTTCTTGCATCACCGTCCTGATCTCTGGAGACGTCCTAGGGCTGAAAAAAAAAAAATTAACAATAATTAGTTTCTATTCAGTGTGCTGTATTTGTATTGCTATTAATGTCATGGTCTCATCTCACCACCTCCAAGAACAGAAAAAAAAAGCAAAGCATGAGGAAGTGAAGCGACAGGCTTGAATTAAAATCACAGGTCGGGAGTCAGATGATTATTTTTAGAGATTTTTGCCACATTCATGAGGAAGTGTGGCTCTAATTTTTTTTTTACCAATTTAAAATTAACAGCAAAAAAGTAACCCGTTCCTCTCCTTGACTGATCCTGAGCATTAGCGGAGTAATTTGAGGAAAGAAGCGTGGGGTCATGTACAGGAATGGACGTTCTGTGTGTTGTTTTCCAGACCTAAATCTGCATGAATCTGTATGTTGTGTTGTAAAAACCTGCTCAGTGTTTCTCCCGTCACAGGCCGTAGTACTCTGTAGATGTAGTGTAGCTGCAGACAACATGTTTCTTTATGCTGTGAGAGTCGGTGGCCCTCAGCTCAGATCTGCCTGACTGAGGATCGGCTGAACCCGGTTCAGCTCTTACACAAAACATTCGGAATCATGTTCCTCAAAGCTGCTCCCGGATCAGCCAGCGAGAATGCAAACTACTACATCTTGTGACAATCTCTGACCTCATCAGCAGCCTTCTGACTCAGAACAATGGACCGCCCTGACACAGACACCGTAGTCATGCTGTTTGCTCTCCATCGGCCAGCTGCAAGCAGCGCTGGCTCCGTCAGCTCCAGGGAGGCCGTTCACATGACCATATGAAGAGTAGATGCACAGGCCTGTACATTACCTCATCATGTCACTCTGTCTCTGCATTAACCATTCACCACAAAACCACCCGGCTTCTTCCCAGATGTACCTACAGACCATCAACTGTCCATCCCAACAAACCTTTTAAACTGAACCGAGAGGTGGCCACAACAAATCACAAGTAACATGTTATTTGTTCAAATTAATTGGAACATAACCCACAAACCCTAATTATAAAATATATGGCAGATGGGCTTGGGCCGATATTCAATAATATCAAATATATCGGAAACATTTTTTTTGCAGTTGTGCAGCTTTGCACAGTCTGCCCTGCTGCCACATCCATCCAATCATTCCACTGCTTTTCTTACTGCACATTGTACCTCGGCATGTGACAAATAAAACTTTGAACTGCCTCAGTGGCAGCATCACTTATACCTGAAACATAAAATACAATAATATAATGATAATTATTATTTTTTTTTAAATTGTGGTTAAATCTATCGCAAATATCGCAAATATCGTAAATATCGTATATCGCAATATTTGGGCTGGACGTATCGAGATATTAAATTTTGGATGTCGCCAAATCCCAATGGCAGAATTGGGATTCTCTGTGCCTCCACTGCCTCAGTTAGCATCAAGCTATCATCTGACATTTGATGCTAGACATTTGCAGTAACCGGCTTTTATCCACCTACCGTTTTTCCATCTACGATGTCAAACCCAAAATGCTTCCACCCATCACTTGTCACCCCCCTGCTGGAGTACAAGGCAACGCCTTCTGTGCCTTACATGGATCATTTTGAATATTATTTTAAACATGCTCAAGTCGTAGTTTAATTTGAAATAGACAGTGACATCCCCTAGTGCGGAGAATAGAAACTACACAGTATCACCTTTCCTTAGGGTTGCCACCTTTGATGTGTGAAAACCCGGGACACTGGGGGGGCAGGGTGGGTCGTGTTGAATCACCTTATTTTGTTGCCACGTCCTCCTCGTCCATCTCTCCCCCCATTTCACCACACGGACAGAAGAAATTTAAGTTTTGTTTTTATTACTAACCAAGTTGTGGATGTTGATGCGCAGTTCCTGGGTAATAAGGGAATCTTTCGTATTTCTGCTACCAATCAAATAAAGATACAGGCATGGCCATTGGCCAATCAACATTATTCATACGTTTACATCCTCACTTTCATGGACACAGGATTGGACAGAACCAGGGAGATAAAAACAGTAGAAGGAAACAAATTAGGTTTTATTTGAAACTGAAATTCTAAACTAGAAATGCATCTTCACAAAAACTGGGACAATCCGAGTCAAGGGGAAGAAATATAAATTATCTGGGACAGTCGCTCTAAAGAGAAAACAATGACGGGAGGCAACCCTACCTTTCCTGCTAACAGCTAAGTTAGCTAGCCAACTTTTCTAACATGGTGCAGGAGTTATATGAAAGCCGCCTGTGGAGATTTTATTTCAACAAACACAATGTTATGATATCGCTACGTGTCTTGGCGTGTTGCTGCCACCAGATGTCAGCTGAACAGCGTAAAACCGATGGCAGGATGTGAGTTGCACTGCTTGCATGTGCGTCCTCGCGCGCAGAGTACCTTTAATTTTCCCAAGATTTGTCTTAAGTGGAAAAACGAGACTGTTGCACGTACACTGTATGAGCATGGTGTATTTTACTTTTATACCTACCGTTCTTGGCTCGTTTCTTTGAAACAGGAAGATTTGTCTTTATTAGCCTACAATGCTATTATTGGCTAATTACAAAAAAAACAAAAAAAGTTACTTGAAACTAAAGAAGCAAGTTGATTTTCGGGATAATTTTGGCATAATTTAAGCCAAGTTGATTTTTTAATTGTAATGCAACAATAATACAGTTTTTAGAGGCTAAATGATTAGAGTGGATGATGTAGTCGGATGTCAGGATGAAACACAACGTACCCCTGTTAGGATCAGGTACCCACTGCAGCTGAGGACACCTGAGCTCGGAGGAAGGATGAGTCACACCGATCTATAAATTAAGGGATGCGTATCTTTGCCACAAACCACCTTCCCCTCTCCTCCTCCTCCTCCTCCTCCTCCTGACGCCTGAGTCAGTCACTGCTGCCTCCTCAGCTCATGCATAACGTGCCGTGTTGTAATGGAGTTTCAGTGTCTCTCTGTCCAGTGACACATTTCAAAACATCATCATTTCCGTGGCGTTTTAGTGAGTAGATGACCACAGCACTAGAACTCGTATCTGGTTCTGTCTTTGCAATACAACTGTCTTCCTGTAAACTGAGATTTAGTCAATAAAATGAGAATTCTTGTTGGACTTTTGGTGTTGTACCTGTTTTTGTGATGGAGGTGATGGGTAATGAAAAAGCAGGAGATGCAGTGTGAACTCGAAAATGAATTTGAAATGGGATGTTTGTAGAGCTTGGACAGTAAATTTAACATCAACAAAAAAGTAAAAGAAAACAAGATTTAATAGATTTAATCTATTAAACATTAAGATGGTGAATATGAAATTAATAAAAGAGACATTATGAAAGTAAGACTGATTAAAAATATATAAATGAACCAAATAGTTAATAGAATAGAAATAGAAAATTAATTTAATGAGTTATTCAAACATTATCTGGAAACCTGTGAATCAACTGAATTAGCTGCATAGACACCATAACTAACTCTTCTGACTTTGCTTTACATGGCTACTGATGCTAGCAGGCTAATTAGCCAGATTAGCCACTTAGCAGCCAAGAGAGAATCCAGTGTTAACTGCTGTAATTAAACCTGGTTAATTCAAAATTACCTTAGCAGCATCATTATGGTAAAGATGTTGAAGACATATACAACTCTGTCGACCGACAAAACATGCAAAGCCTTTCGCTTGGTTGCTCTGAACTAGCTAGCTAACTGGCTATTATTATTAGCGAGCCTGTTAAAAAGATAACAACTCAAGTCATTACAAAGTATATAAAATGAAACTGTCAGAGGGAAGTGATATCACAAAAAGGCCACACACACCTAACTGCTGTGTGCAGGTAACTGTTCATTCGTATAAAGATGGTGGGTAAAAAGAGAGGTGACGGTGGTTCGATATATGGTTGGAACATAAAAGTTTTAGGGTTTGCTGCACAGCTTAACCCAACCAAAAATGACGGAGGAACAGTGTTTGGTCTTTGTTAATAATGTAGCAGCCTAATAAATGTAGGCTATTAAAACATCTCAGTGATCTTGCTGGAGGCGGGTATCTTGCCCCCAGTGGGCCATGCCGGAACGACTTACTCCCCCGACACCTTTATTAGGATCAAATTAGGATCAAAGTGATTTTGAGCTTGTAAAGTAATGTTTACAAATAATTCCCAAGTTTGTAGTTGTAAATCAGCCTTTGTAAACATGTAAAATCTGCATAAGAAATTCAAGTTTGTGAATGTGAAAAACAACAATTCTGAACAATTCTAAATCAGAAACCAGTGCATCAATATATTCTCACTTTACATATATAATCCCCTGAGAACAAACCAAGGAGATTAGATGTATTACTTAACATGGCTTGAGAAAATATAATGAAATAAACTCACTCAGGAACAGCGGTGACATGACGGAGGGAAGCAGCTGAACTGAAGGGCAGAACAGAGAATTAGCTCAGGACACAGAACAATGAACGCTGAAGGCACCTGTGTGACCTGCCCAGTTAGCACACCTGTTCCCCTGCTGCTCTTCAGCCCAGCAGTCACGTGACCCCACTTCCAGCAGTATGCGTTCAGTGAAAATAAAAAGAAATGCCCAAAGTAACAGATTAAGAAACCTTAATCAAATTAATAAATTGATGAATAGCTACATGAATCTCAAGACCCAATAATAATTCCAGTGTTTGTTGGAAATTTATTTCCGATCAGTTGTGAGCTAGCGGAAACAAAACCTGTAACAGTGACGAAGCAGCTGCAAGTTTGTTCAGAATCTTTAGTCCTTATTTAAAAGGCCAGCAAAGCATGTCACCTGGTATCTTTGTGCCAACTGAACACAAGTAGGGCGGTAAGTTAGTGACGTTGACACGTCACTGTAGGAAAAGCAAAGGTGAACTTAAGGAAAACTATTATTGCAGATAGCAAAATGAAACTTCTGGCCCAATATCTGACTGGGTCCTCAGGCCGAGTCTGGCCCATACACCATCCTCCGGGATCGACCGACAGCTAGAAGATTTGGGCCACGGAACCGGGGGAAAAGAAGCATGCGGTCAAAGTGTGGGCCGGATTTATTTAGCCATCCTCACCGAGCGTGTTCTCCTGTGAATTTGAGACGATATAAAATATTTTCCTTGAATTAATTTTTTCAGTCACTAAACTCAGAAAACCACAACATTGAACAAAATATTTATTTTTGACAATAACATGACCTCTGATTCTCCGAGAGGTGAGCGAGACGGTACAAAAAGTTGCCATAAAATTAAAAAACAAAAGTGACAGGAGTTGATAGTTCTAGTCCCATGTTAAACCTAAAAACACCACAGCACAGAGACACACTGAAGAGGCGCTGGAATGTGATGGTAGTGTGTACCAGGACAGAGAGGATAACCACATCCTGCTGCTGCTGTCACTGCTCTCGTCAATGTGGGGTTCACACAGAAAACAGGAAGGAGACAAAATCATAAAACAAAGTTCAAATCATTTGAATATCTGAGATTCAGCCCTGAGATTAACACACGGACAAAATATTATATATAAAAAAAAAAAAAAAAAAATCCAAACATTTTGTTAGAATAAAACATTTTCCAAAAGCTGCTGTTTTTTGATACAAAGAAATCTGCAGAGAAGAGTTCAGGCTCTCTGATAATCCTGCTCATTGAAAAACAATTCATTCAACTGGAACAAAATATAAAATAAACAAAACATCAACGATGGCACAAATGAAAGAAGTGGTGTTCCAGGATAAGGAGATCTTGGTGTGTGTGTGTGTGTGTGTGTGTGTGTGTGTGTGTGTGTGTGTGTCCAGCTGCTGCTGCTGGTGAGACACTGAGCAGAGAAACCTTCCACCGCCTCTGTGTGGTCTGTTCACATCGAACCACGGCTTCAGACTGCTCCCTGTGGTCCCAGACAGCGCAACGCTGCCCCTGATGGCTGTATGAAGAAGTACACAGATGTGATACCAACACTGATCACAAGGACCTCTCTCTAAAGTAAAAAGGCAGGCTGAGCAGCCAAAGCCCCGCCCTCCACACCCCACAGAACAGGTGCCAATACGCTGGGAGCTAATCTCAACACAAGTCCCAGAGAGTCAGCGTGCACCTGCGTGGTCGGAGGGTTCGTTAGGAACCGAGGTGAACGTGAGCTGCCTTCAGTCATCAGGATTTCCAAAGGAAGGTGATGTACATCCACTGATTTGTCTTTGCACCACGAGCTCGTGAGAGTCAAACTGGATACACCTGTATGTCAGGTAAGGCTTCTTCAGAAATAGAAATGCACCAAGTCAAGAAAGAAAATCTTAATACTAGCGTGGCCACTGCTGCCGATGTAAACCACAGATTCTCAATGAGTGTTAAATCATCATACATCCTCTTTAAACTCTAGTGACACTGATGGAGCCGAGCGGTCCTGATACTGTGTGAATGCTGCGCTGCAAAGTTCACAACATGAAACTCAACAGAAAGAAAAGACTGCAGCTCTGACAGAGGAAACGAGTCTGAAATAAACTAATCCTGATTTAATTTATCATCCAATTAATCATTAAGAACCAGCTGATGTGAAGGTGCAAACACTCGCTCCCAGTCTGAGGCGAGAAGCCAAAGTCAAAGCCTCTGAGCCAAATGAAAATCACATGGTGTCATTGTGATGTCAGATGTGGCTTTTTCTGAGTTCACAGACTGGTCCCTGAACCTCACACAGCCACATGAGAGCGCCTGAAGCAGGTGGAGGTTTGGCTACGTCCACACTGCTATGTTTTCATTTGAAAACAGCGTTTTGATTTCTGTCCAGACGACCATTTTAGCTCCGTATCAAAACTGATAAGAACAGGAAGCAGATTGTCTTCTCTGCAAGTTGATTCCGTTGCAAAAAAATACTTGAGGAAGTAGCGTTAAAATGCAGAATGTCAGTGAACAACAGCTGCTAGCAAAGACAACAAAGTCAGTAACACTGTAATTATCTTGTCGTATTCACCACCGGTAGTCCAGGCTGATGAGAGCCAATCAGGAGAGACCATGGGTGTCTATGTCATCGTTTCCAAAAGTCTCAGTGTCTGTCTGTCCAGACTACAACACAACCCCAGGGCTTTCAAAATAAAACGGGGTCAGCAGAGTTTCTGAAAGTCTCTGTTTTCGGAGCTCAAAAACTGTGGAGTCGCCTGGACGCGAGGAGATGCGTTTTAAAAGGAAAACGTAGCAGTGTGGACGTAGCCGGACAAGATAATACTGCAGCTGGAGTAGAGGACCGGACGTGTTCAGTGTCACTCCAAAGTGCTTCTTGCAAAAACCCCCTCACACGGGGAGAATACATTCAAACACACTGTTCAGTTCCCTCAACATCAGCTGGGCGATTTGTTATGTGCAAGTGTCCTGTGAGTGAACGAGACCTGCCTGATGCACCAGTAAACTAAACTTAATGCCATGTGTGATCGGCTGTTTCAACATGGAACCCTGTTGTGTTGTCAGCGTCCAATCGAGTACCTTGTTCTTTATCGACTGTCCCGCCCTCTTCCTGTCCCAGCGTCTCCTCGACTGGCCTGATATTTCAACATTGAACTGCTTCACCAATAACTTAAAAAAAAAAACACACAATCAAACCTCTTTGACGACTGCTAAAGAAGCCAATAAGAAACTTCAGGAATAAATAAACCAAATATAATCAAATACTTAGAAATCTTTAAAAAATTAAATATCTTTGATTATTATTCATATCTAATCCAGGAAAAAATCCTTATAAATAACTACACAAATGACAAATTCAGCATGTTACTTTAAGTGAAGTGAGAGGAGGCTCCTCCTCAGTCGGACCGGACTGACGGAGGTTTGGGGGACTGGGCTCCTCCAGTCACAGCGTCGGGGGTTAACAGTGCAGCTGAAGGGCAGAGGGTGAAGTTAAGGTTCATGGGTGCTAGCTGTCAGTCAGAAGAACCCTGGTCCACTGTCGCCATGGTTACCAGCAGAAAGGGGAAGAAGAGCCCCTGCAGGATGCTGCAGGTGAGTGTCTGGAAGAGGAGAACAAAGCGATGATTCATCTGCTCCTGTTTCAGCAGACAACAGTCCAGACTGGAAGGATGTGGACGGTTAACGTACCGAGAGTTTACATCAATACAGAAACAACTGTGTGGGAGATAAAACCCTTTAAACACACGGCTCCCACAGTTTAGGCTTCAGAAGTAATTGGACTGATTCACATTAAGTAAAACTTCCTCCTGAGCCACAGAGACATGAAGGCTGAGCAGGTAATCACTGACCTCATGAAGTTTCTGCAAACTGTGTCACCTGTCATCCCACCTGTTCCCTGGAGGGGTTTTGAATGTCTTGTTCTGAGGATTAAAAAGGTTGATATTTAATATCCAGTTAGAAAAACAGTCACACAGTTTCCCCCGACATCCTTCACACAGCAGCACAAACTTTTTATTCCGTAGATTTTATAAACAACTTGAGTTTTTTTCTGCTCACCTTGTGCTTTTTACACTTCATGGAGAAATTCTCTTCAATGAGAACACAGTCTGCTGGAAAACAGAGCGGGAGGTGAGGGTGTCGCACTGACTCAGTCAAAGGTTAGGAGGTAGAATGTGAACTATAACTGAATATTGGTACTCTGATGTTCAGGTCGGGACTCGTATCAAACGTGTGATGTGCGTTTGAGTTATAACAACTTCCTTTTTATATTGAAATCTGCCGTGCCGCCACGGGCAGGTCCTCCAACGAAAACTCAAAAGCTTCCCAATTTAGCATCGCAAAGATCTTAAGATTAGACCGACCAAATATGATGTTGTTGAGATTAATTCTGTAGGAGGAGTTTGTCAAATTCCAATGCCTGTAAATGGCAAAAAAAAACGGTAACAAAATTGAAGAGTAATTCCAAAATATCCCACTTCCTGATTCGGGGTATGGGTACATTCGCCTTTTTTTGTAGGTGTTGGCGTGTTGCATGTGCACACTGAATTATGTACATGTAAAGGGTGAAACACAGGGAGAGTAGTGCCTCAAATTAAATTGTAGAGAGGGGCATCTGTCGAGCCATTCTGCCACACCCATGTGTAAGACCCATGAAATATTTAAATTTCCACCAGGCCTGACGCATGTCGGAACTTTCAGGAGTTTTTGAGCTTGTTCAGGCTCCAACACGCCAGATTTTCATTGAGGAATAAAGATAAACGGAGCCACACATCAGGGAAACAGTGGAGTCCTCTAACAAACCAAAAATGAGCTCTTATTCATATCAAGGCAAATCTATCAGGTTTACAAATAGCAAACATTTTCTTATGTGCCTGTAGTACTCAGTTAGTCTGGTTTTATTTGCCCAGGCTCTGTCTCTGTAACATCATCCACCTCCAGTGTACAGAAATCTCTGACACCTCAAACATGAGCAGGAAACCTGCAGAAGGCCACGTGCTGTAACTGTACTTTGTCCTGTGTGTCATGTGGAGGTGGAGGGCGTGGACTTACCTGACTCCAGAGCACACCTGTAGTGGTACTTGTTGGGACAACCTTTAAAGAAGCAGCCCAGTGTAGCACCTGGATCACGACACGCTGAACACACCTGAAAACACAGAAGACACCAGGCGGATGAAGACCCAGAACGCTGTGTCTTTTCTGCACAGCTACAAAACTAAAGAAAAGTCTTCATTATAAGTAGTTATGTGCTGCGCCTTGTGTGGGGGCGTCAACAGACCAGGAAGTAATGTCTGGACCCCAACAAGGCGTTTCCTACAAAGGAGAAAATTGGGTTTTGTCCTGAGTTTCTCCCTTTAGTGTAAACTTTGATCCTTGTGACTCTGAGACCATTTACAAGCACACAAACCTTTATCACATGCTCTAAGTAAGGGAAAACTCAGAAAGGCATAACAGGTCCCCTTTAAAGAAGAGATCTCTTTGAAATACACAAGCTGAACCCTAAAGCAACGCAACATAAAGATTACAGCATCTCAACATGATCAACTAGGTCACCCGGAGCGCACAGACCTCAGCCGACATCCAACAACATCCACCAGATTTAAGAGGAAAAAAATCTGATTCTTCAAAACAGTTTCAGTACTTTTTGCTGACAAGGTGTGAAAACAACTTCTTCTTTCATGTTTTCTAATTTCAACATTTTGCTGCAGCCATGTTTTGATATGGTAACACACTAAAATCTATTAGTATGTTAGAGTCAAGGAGGACAAGTACACAGATTATTAATGTATTATCCTCCTTAATTTTTCCCTTTTTGCGCCATGATAACCCACCACCTCTCCCTGTGGTATTGTGTAACAACATGTTAACATCATTACCGTCTCTTGTGCCACCTTCACCGCCTCCTCCAGTCCGTAGATTTTGCCCTTCACCAGGAACACGCCGGCGGACCAGATACCGCAGTCTTCATGGAGCCAGTACTCGCAGGGCTCCAGAGGCAGCACCGGGGGGCTGTACCAGTCCTCCACATCTGCAGAGCTGGGATCTGAGCGAGCTCGCTTCGCTGCAGGGCTGCCAGTGCTGTCACCGGTCCACCGGCGGTTCTCCAGGAGGCCCTTCTGTTTGAGCTGAGCCCCCGGCCTGAGGGACCACGGTGAGTGTGGACCGGCGCTCTTCCTCCTCCTGCCTCTGATGCTGCAGGACGAGGAGTCTGAGTCGCTGTAGTCGTCCTCATCCCCTTTGAGGCCCGAGACGCTGGCTGGTGTTTTGGTGCTTGGCTGGTAGCCCTCAGGGTAGTAGGGGCCGTGGAGGTCCCCCAGGTCCATGGCGTTGGCAGACCGCCCGCACAGGCAGCAGACGAGGGAGCGCTGGTGCTGGCTCTGTGTGGACGCCCGGCCCAGCTGGAGACACGAGGTGCTGGGTACGACTGCAGAAATGAAGCCACTGGTGTGAGGCTGCTGCTGGCCCTTCTTGTGCTGCGTCTTCACTTCCTCGGGGTAGTTGATGACAGTACACAGTGATGGCGAGGACTGCTGCCGCTCCACACGGACGAACGGAGAGAAGCTGTCCGACCTCAGCTCCCTTTTCTCCTCCTTGAAGTTGACGTACTTCAGCTTGATCTCCGGCTCCTTGGGGGAGAACATGGAGGAGGACTGGCCGCCTTTGTGTTTCTTCCTCCTCTTCTTGGGAGTGTGAGCCGCCTTTGTCTTGGCAGTGGGGGATGTTGTACCTGTAGTCTTGCCTTTGGCTTTCCCTTGACTTTTCTTTGGAGACTTTGATGGCGGTGGCGGCGGCGGCGGTGGTGGTGATGGAGGGGGAGACAATCTTGCCACATGAATTTCCTCTGAGGGTTCAGGGTGAATCTGGAGCTCCGGCTCCTTCTTTGAGTTCTTGTGCAGAGCGGCCTGAGGACTGGACTGTGATGAGGGTTTCCTCTTTGACTTTGCGGTGTGAGTCTGTGGTGAGAGGACAGACAGTGAAGCGTCCTCTGACTCTTTCTTTGACCTCTTGTGCACAGTACACGGAGGACTTTTTGGATGTGAGCTGCTGTGGGACTTTCTAGTACGACTGAGGGTTTCAGGATCAGAGGTAGAGCCTTTGCAGCTGTCAGTGTTAATGTTATTAGTTTTGTCCCTTTTCACAGGAGTTCCTGCTTTTTGTTTGACTGTGTTCGCTGAGACAGACGCTCCCGCTCTGCTCCTCCTCCTCCCCACTGACGGCGCCTCATTCCTCTTCGGACTGGCCGAGTTGGAGTCACTGGTTGCTGATTGGGAAGCGCTGGCTTTCTTACTGGTGCGGATGCATCCTGACACTTTGTACTTGTTTGAGTTTATGTTCATGACTATCGCCTCTAACCGCGTCCCTCTGCTGGAACGCAGTGGAAGCTTTTTCTCCTTTAAAGTCCTCTGCAGAGCGTTAGCGTTCCCGTTCATGTGGGGGGTGACAGTCTGGGGTTTGTCCTCTGAAACATCAGACACACAACCATCGTCTGTCAAGTCAATCAGAGGCTCTATCACTGCCTTCCGTCTTCGGACCGGCTGCTTGTTTTCCTCTCTTGAATCCAGCCCTGTCGTACTATTGCTGATGCCAGCGCCTGGCTGAATGCCCCCCTCTGTACTCGAGCCGTCCCATGCTGCCTGCTCAGTCTCTAGATAAGAGTTGTCTGCGCTGGGGGAGCTGGAGGCCTGAGGCAGGATGAACACATCCTCCACATCGTCCAGTGAGGTAGCGGAGGGGGAGACCGGGTCCTCCAGAGGACTGATGTACTCCCTGCTCAGTGAACACAGGTCTCTAGCACCCACACTGTCCATGGGGACCACTGGGTCCTGTTTTCTTGACATGAGAAAGAGCACCTCAGAGCCTCCCCCCTCCTCATCCTCCACTGTGGTGGGGGTGAGCGTCTCTGGGGAGGATTCAACACATTCTCCTGAACTCGTCCGGCTGTGACCTCGACCATTCTCCAAACTCCTGCTGTTTTCCCAAGAAAGGCTGCATTCTACTTTCTTTTCAACCGGATTGTCCGTGTCGTCATCACTGGAAATCACTCCACCGTTCACCTCACGAGGCTCCTGCGTAGGACACACTCCCCCGTCATTCTCTGATCCCACCTGAGCCTGAGACAACGACTGCAACAGTTCTGTCTGAGTGGCGAGGTCCACCGACCCCTCGACCTGCTCCACGTAATGCTGGTTCAGCGAGTAGCCGGCCTCCCCGAGCCCTTTATCTGAGTCACATGGGGGGTGGAGGGAGAACTTGCTTATGGGTGGCATACCACACAGAGGCGAGTGTCGAGACAGGGAGTCTTGAGTGGAGAAGACGTGAGACCGGCTCACGTAGGACAGGGTGACTGTAGTGTGGGAGAAGGCATTGTCTGGTTGAATATGATCCCCTGATTGGAGCGTGATGTCCGAGGAGCCCGTGTCGGAGAAAGCCAGTCCTGGGTTGCTGGTCCCGGAGTTTGGGTACCAACCCGGGCTCTTCACCATCTGCAGGGACGTGGCGTTGAGGACGCATTCCTCACCCTTCCTGGTCAGATCGATCACAGTGGGGAGGCTAGAGGTGGAGAGGTCCTGAGGCTGGAGATCATCTAAGCTCCCAGCTGCCTGCTCCATAACAACTGCAAGGGCAGAGAGAGGGAGAGAAACATATGAGTGTACAATCTGTCAAAGAATCCATTATTAATATTCTCTAATGTCACCAACTCTTTAACCAGAGCAGATTCACTCAGCACAAAGGTCATAGTTTAACTACTTTTGACAACTCACTTTGTTATCCAGCCTGTTTTGGTAGAAGAAGAAGAAAGTTTAAGTACAAGCTCTGACAGCTCAAATCATAGCACTGACATTAGCTCGTAAACTGACCTGTGACGTGAATTTCATTAACGTCGTTGCGCAAAGCGGGGATTAACTGACAATTTAAGTTTTGTCTTATTTTGAAATTACCTTATTATTAATGGATGTAAATGATATCAAGTTGTCAGGTTCAGTGGATAACGTCTTTCCCGGACACCCGGCTGACTCTTTACCACCAACGTTGACAGGTCAGGGTGGGCTAACGGCTTAGCTTAGCCACAGCTAACGTTAGCTAGCTAGGCCCGGCTTTAGCTCCGGTAACGTTCCCTCATGACGAACTACGTTAAACATCGGGGGACTTTAAGATTTTCTCATTTATGGTGGAAAATCATTCACCACTAACCACGACTTGAATGCTTCAACTATTCAATAGAATCCATTCTTTATTTCGGCCAGGTCTACACTCCTATTAAGCGCCTTATTTCGGTAAAATGACAACTTTTATAGCTTGGTGGTCCGCACCGTTAGCATCCGTCCACTACGGCTCTCAGTAACTTTGTTGCACCAACGGTCGAACCAATTTTAACGTTTTAAATCTTATTTCAAATTGAGTTTTTTTAATTTACTGTATTACATGAATTCCGAATTACAAATTGGACCTTAATGTCCCAGGGGAGAACACAGTGTTATGTAGTAGGTACAAAGATTCGACGATAAGCAGAGTATTATTAAACTGCAGAGTACTTTTCATTGAGTTTGGCTACACGTTCTCTCCATGTAAGAGAACGGTGCGCATCGGGGCAAGGCCCGGCTGCATGGAACAAAGACAGAGCGGAGGCAACGCGCTGCCGCTGGTCTAAACTTACCGGGGCGGGAGATATCGACACGTTGTTAAATGTCCCGTTAAGAGTGTGTCCCCCCCTGCATCTCTGTCAACAGCCCGTCTACTCTAACAAACCCCGGTAACACAACACGGAGAGAAAGACCCAAATTAAAGATCCACACACTTTCCAGGAACACACTACTCCGTGTCAAGTTGTTTAGAGTAGAATCTCAAACTTCCGGATACCCCTTTCACAATAAAACAATTAGTGTTTATTATCGTGATTATTATTATTCTGAAAAACACGAATAAAAAGTATATGAAAAAGAAAAGCACACTAAAAGACGTAATTTGCTAAACGTTTTTTTTTATTGTTCTTTCCAGTCGTGAATCATTTAGACGTGATCCAGCTGTTGTGTGTCAAGCTTCAGATTCATCAGCCAACCCGGGCTGATGTGCTGTCTGTCTCGCTCCAGAGTGACGTCATTATCTGCTTTCAGCTGGGCGCTGTCTCACTCCGGGTGACTTGACGAGTGGACGGTGGAACAGTTGCCTCTCAGCTGTGCAGCAGAAAGGCATCATGGGAGCAGAGCGGTGGGACCTGTTCCAATCCAAGTGATTGACCCTCAGAGAATCCGTGACGTCATTTTCTAGTGTGGTTTATAAAGCATCACAATTGCTGTTGCTAACACATGTTTTAACATTGTGACACATCAGCAGCTGGTGACCGATAAAATAAATAGAAATGAAACAGATCCAGAAGACAAAGACAACAAACAGATTAAAGGGATATTTCAGCAATTTATTATTAAACTTTAAAATCAAAGCAACAGAACCTGAGATGTCCCGGCTTCAAGGGTCAAACTCCAGAAATGGTGGATTCAACATTTCCCATAATGCAATGTAATAATATCTTTAGTTTGACGCTCTTTGGAAACAGTTTGACAAAACAACCTCAATTCAAGAGACACTTATTATCACTGTGGCATCAGAGCTCACCTGTCTGTGCGTCTATGACATCAGAGCTCACCTGTCTGTGTCACTGTGACATCAGAGCTAACTTGTCTTTAACATCAGAGCTCACCTTTCTGTGTCTCTGACATAAGAACTCACCTCTGTGTGTTTGTGACATAAGAGCTCACCTGTCTGTGTTTGTGACATCAGAACAACCAGCTCATTAAACTGTAGTTCTGTTTTTCCTCTGTGTAAATTCATATTTTCAGAGAGAGGTCAGAGTTCAGAGTTGACAAAACAGCAGCAGACACATTTTTAGTGTCAGTCTTCCCTCTCTGTATTTCCTGATCTGAGCAGATCACAGAGAGTTCGAGGACTTTAATTAGTGTTAGAATTTCTCATGAAACCAGAGCAGAAAACAACGTTATACAACATCATCCTGCTAAACAAACTCAACTAGATCCCTGGTGTCTTCTGGCGACTGCTGGACTCACTGGGAGCTGCACTGGGAGCTGCGGTCTGCTCCTCCTGTCTGTCATTTGAAAACTCAGAGGAAAGAAGTTGAAGCAGTAAAATCCAGATGCTTCAGACAGTTTTATTTAACTTTGTTCTTCATGTAAAACGAGTCAATAACAGTGAACTGCTGCCTGAGAGTTTAAACCACCATATAGATACGAAACACATCGACGAGCAAACAGCTGGAGAGGGAGACAGATGTGAAGCATGCGGCCTGATCACCAACCTTCACATGCACCAGACTTCATAGAGAAAAACTTAAACTCATAGTAAATCCAGATCTGCCCCAAAATGTAATGGATTCTTCCCTTGTCCATGACCCCTCCCTCCGCCGAGTTCAGTGCAAATCAACAAACAAACAAACAAACAAACAAACAAAAACAAGCGATGACAACAACCTCCTTGGTGTAAATGAGTCTACAGTCTCTGCTCCTCCCGGCTGCTGTTCCATGTTTTCTCTTCAGATAACAGAACACGCATTAACACTTGGGTCAACCTGTCTATGACTGATAATGTTCATACGTGACCCCTCCCAACTCCATCTGCTGAGGAAGACAGTGCAACGCGGCCGAGAGCTCCAGAAAAAGTCACACACTGTAAAGGGTGCAAAAATATTTATTGCTAATAAACCTGTAGTCAGTTGGTGTATATTTGCTTAATATTTACAATAATAGAGTACAGAGTAATGGGAATGTGAAAGAAAAAATCCCAACCATTTAAATAAATACAAAGGGAGGAGGACTGCCACTGAACAAGACTACAGACATGAACCACCTCCAACAGCTCCTGTACAGCTGGACCGAGACTCCAGTGAGGAAAGATTCATATATATGGTCAGTGAATGCATCCACGTCTGATCCGAGGACAGGGAACATGAAGCGGCACGGCGGGTTCGACGGGCTCGTTGTCCCGTCTGTGGCGGAGCAGTAACTATTCCTATGCTTTTGTAACGCGAGCGTCATTCGCTGCTCGGCGCGTGTGGTTGTAGTTCAGCTGTTAAACATCACATTCATGCCTTTGGCTAGCAACAGTCTATGGAGTGACACAGTAGCTTACACAGTCAGAGTTTAGTGTTCGTGGCAGATTAAAAACGTAAAGTATTTACAGTGAGACATGGCAGCAAAACATCAACAATACAAAAATGTCACAGTTAACTGAAGTGCATGGAATGCAAAGTCTAGACATGAAATTCAAACTTCATACCATGTTTTTAATAATATATGATCTGTGTTTGTGACCAGTGTCTACTGTTACTAAATAAGTCGTTACAGAGCTAAAATATAGTGGACTTCTACACATGCAGCGAGGCGGGAGGAAGCGGCGTCACTGTCAGAACTCCTTCGTGTCTTTGTTCTCAAACAGGTGGAGTCTCTGCTCAGGTGTCAGCCCCTCCTTCAGACTCTGGACAGGGGGGAGGAGAGAGAGAGCAGATGTTAGTTACTGAGCAACAGATGTTCAGGACAGATGTGATGTTTCCCCTCTCAGTGTGAATCTGTCATCACCCAGTGAAACTCAAACACAACTCGACACCTGACAGCCCTGGGTGTGGTGCAGACACTAGAACTCACAGACAGTCAGTGAACGCACCAAAGGACATGTGATGTAATGCTTTATGTATTTTGATAAAATAAATTCAAACCTTGTTCATTTTATTCTTCCATCTATCTTTGATTCGCTCTTTTTCCCCAAGTAATTGTGATTTTCCTCATTTCCTGTTTTACGTATATGTTAATGATGTGGGCGTGTCCATGTAGGTCCAGGGCGGTGATTGGTCCAGGATGACAACAGGTGTGTGAATCAGGATCATTTTACTTCAGGTCAGGTTCAGGTCAAAGATTTTAGATTTTGGGTGGAGCAGCGACATCAGTGTCACAGCATCATTAACTTTATCATCATCATCATCATCATCATCATCATCATCACTAATCGTCCTGTTCCTACTTTAATCTGTCTCTGTTTGTACACTGAACTCTTCATCATCATCATCATCATCATCATCAGCTGCAGGAACACCTGCTAACTGACTCTGTGTCAGTTTCTTTTCAACAAGCAGGAAACAGTGTGAGGAAACTGTGACTGGGTCCCTTGTGTAACGTTTAATTCAGTGCCTCTGTGACTGCTTTAGCATTAGCCTGCTAGCTTTGTTAGTGCTAGCTTAGATGCTAAAAAGCAGCTCTACCTTTTCTACAGCGGCACCATCACCTGCACTGGTGTAGTTTTATGACGAGCGTTAGCTGCAGCTAGACAGGTGTGTGTGTGTGTATGAGCTCTTTCAGTCAAAGTGTAGGAACATCTCAGAGGTGATCCTGAGCTGAGGTGTCTGAATACTTATGTCAATTTTAATATATAATTTGATTTGCTAAAATGTCTAAAATCCTGTTTTCTTTTTGTCATTAAGGAGGATGAAGTTGTAAATTAATGAGGGAATTATTTTATTTTATCATGATGCTGCTGCTAAAACTCTGCAACTGTGACAATAAACAGTTTATAGTGACAGTTTTATCGTTGATGTTTTTATGCATATTTTACTATATAATAAATATTTTAATGATTTCAGTCTTTATTTTAATACATGCTGCACAATATTACTAATTTCATTGTTTATTTAAATGCAATGACAATAAAGAATCTATCTATCTGTCTATTATAACAACATGAGTGAGGGGTGTGAAGACTTTGTGAACACTCTCTGATCATGTGCAGCAGTGACTCAGATCTGTGCAGAGCTTTAGAGGTGGAGGACAGGAGGGTGTAGACGGAGGACGGGAGGGTGAGCTGAGACCCTCCATGGGTGCGTCTGGTCTGGTTTACCTAAAGGAGGAGGGGGGGAGGTCTACAGGTCCTCAGCGGCCCTAACTGTCCCAGGGCAGGACTCGACTCACAGACTGAGGACAGAAGGGAAACACACCAGTGTGTGTGTTAGTCCACTGTGGTTTGACTTTCATCACAACACTGCAGATCTGATGGAGTCACAGGATGATGAACAACACGCAGCGCTGCAGGAACACGGCCAACGATGACGCAACAGTGAGCATGCAATGCTGCATGCAGCTGTGCAGGTGACCAGCAGGTGGCAGCAGGTCACTGTACACTGACTGTGTGTGGAGGGAAACCTGTGACTGCTCTGTCAGCGATGACACAATGGGTGACACAAGCTCCACGGGACATCCTGATGAAGACAGCGGTGGGATGAGGGTGACGGACGTCACCCTGAGCAGGGGACTCACCTTTGACCTCATGGTGCGCTCCGAGCGTTTGGCTGCAGCAGCCGCCATCTTGAGGATGTCTGGGTTACTTTTGGACTTCATGATGTCTGTGAGGGAGAATGTGTCAGAGTTAAAATAACAGGAGAAAACAGTGAACCAGACGTGTGGACGAGGGACGTCACAAGAGCCGAAGCTTCAGGACAAGACGATGTACTAGAGGTACTAGTTACTAGAGATGTGATGAGGTATAACAGTATAACAACACTCCAACTGCTCTAGTCTGACGTCACACCCAGAGAGAAGAAGAAGGCAGGGACAGTAAACAACAACACGTGGAATGACGACAGCAGCAGTGACAGCAGCAGCAGCAGCAGCACTTGGTTGATCACCGCTCTGCTCCACAGAAACAGTTTTCACCGTCTCACTTCATGTCAAAGCAAAACAACTTTTGTTTTGAGTTCCATTAAGACAAGATTAAATACATTTACATGAGCAGGAGTGGAAGCTTATGTAGACTGATGAGAGGAAGCAGAACAAACGGGTTTATAAATCGATGTGGAGGCGACATCACTTCCTCAGAAACACGAGTTGAAACGAGAGTGAAGACTTTAAAGTGTCTGACTCTGATGGGAGCTCTCGTGCGAACAGGCCTCACACAAACCACGTGAGAGGTTTATACTGAGGTGAAGCTCAGTGTGTTTTCTGTATGTTTCCGTACCGTATCCTCCTCGCTCCACCTCCTCCAGCGACGGCTCCCCGAGCGCCTCGTGCGCCAGCTGCAGCTGGTCTCTGAGCCGGCCCAGGTCCCGCTCTGCTTTGGCCTTCACAATGCTCAGCTCTGTGTAGATGTCCTTGTACTTATCCGTTGCATATTTCTTGTCCTGAAAACAAATAGTTTGGCAGTTCAGATGAAGGGCACTGATGTGGCTGGGAATAAAACAACAGGACGGGGGAGGGGAGGTACAAACACGTACTCTTTGGGCGGCTTGGAGCTCGTCCTTCAGGGAGTTGATTTCCTGCTTCAGGTACTGGACCTCAGACTCCTTCACCCTCAGCATCACCTGGAGAACAGGAAGAGAAGACGACACTGAGAACGAGGGGAAGTGCAGCTTTATTCTTATAGAAAGAATTTTGATGCACATGTTTGTATTTTACTCTCCGAAGTGATTCACCTCTAACTCGTAGAGCTCCTTCCCCTGTATCGTGGCGTTGGTGTCTCCCACTCCGTCCTCAGATGTCATTGAACGCATCTTTGTGATCTCTGCTGCCAGACGGTTGTTCAGCTCCTGCAGAGATCAGGACGTTTAGATCAGGGCAGGTAAACTTTCAGCCAACAGTTGAAAGTGCTCCTGGGTAAATATTTGCACACAGGTGTGTTGTGTGAACCAGCGAGTGACGTGGGTGTGTGTGTGTGGGTATGTGTGTGTGTGTGTGTGGGTGTGTGTGTGTACCTGGTTGTGTGCGTTGAGCTCCTGGTTCTCTCTCTGACACTGCCTGAGGGCCTGCCTCTCGGCCTCCAGCGCCTGGGCCAGGTGGGCGTTCTCCAGGCACTTCTGGGAGTACTGCTCCGACAGCACCTCGATCTCCCGCTGGAACGAACACAGCTCCTCCCTGCAGCACATCACATGACCACACTCACTTATTCACAGAGCCTCACAGAGAGAGGAGCGGCCCGACACGCCCACGTTTGATTTACTGTAAACACCTGCACAGGTGTCACTGAGCACACGTCCCGGCAGGTCGTGGCTGACACCGACACAACGAGACGCTTCAGCACCATCAGATCAAATCAAAGCTCAGAAAAGTTCAGCCTGAATGACTGGTGCTGGATTTATCAGCTAATATTCCTTTTTTTTGTTTTTACAGAAACATTTTGATGAAGTCATTTTGATGTTCTTCAGGTTCAGCATTAATACAACACAAACCAGACTCATCTAATCCTCCTCTGACTGCAGGCGACAGCTTTAGCACAGCTCTTCTGTTCTACGGTGGAACAGCTGTGGAAATGTCAGAGCCAATATCAGAGTGGTTTTACTATTAGACAGAATCATTTCCTCCAGTTGTGAAAAGATTAAACTGACATTTACAGGCAGCTAATCTAAAAATGTAAATCCTCCGTCTGTGACGATCTGTTCACACTCTGAATTTTTTCAGTGTTTAGCTCAATGAGCGTCTAGTCTGCTCCAGCCTTTCTGAATCATGTCTGAGAACTAACATGTGGAAATGTTTTGCTTTTTACAGCCTCGATGGTAAAATCAAGAGTAAAGGTAATGTTTGATAATAAAGGGCAAATTTACAAGGAAAAGGAGAATGCACAGATTTTTCTGTCAAACTTTATCTCAACTTTCCTGACAAAGTAAAACTGTATTTTCTGTCATTTTGTCAATTTTTTTTCTTCTTTTAATCGAAGTGAAGTGATTTGTTTATTGTGTAATAAAAGTAAGACTTTTTGCAAGAGTCTGACAGAACAAAAAAACCTGATGAGTCTCCTGACCAGAGGGGCCACACATCGCACAGTGGTGACTCCAGACTCCCCCCAAACACACTGACTATCGGCAGACGCTACAATTTACAGATGTTCTCTAAACGCCTCACATGCAGGCAACGGGTTTTGGGGCAGCCGTGCACTGTATAGTGTCTTTACGGGCGGTTTAAGGGGGTTTACAGTTGTTATTGTGCCAATATGAGGGGTCATGGAGGGCCCCAAACTTTGGCCTGGTTCTCCTCTGGATCTGCAGTGTACGGAGCTCTGTGGGCTGCACTGGAGCATCAGCTCTCCTCCTCACTGTAGAGTCCTGCTCCTGCTCAGATTCTCACTGTGTAACTATGATAATGAGTTGAGAGCAGTAACTGGTCTAAAAGCCTCGGTGACATGTGGCAGTGGAGGAAACGTACTCGTGCTGTCGGTGGATCTCCTCCATGTCTGCGTTCTCGGCGTTGTTGTTCGCCTTGCGAGCCTTGTCCAGCTCCTTCTCCAGCTCCGTCCGGTGTGCGTTTTTCATCGCCTCGATCGCTGTGACAACACAAGAAGCTTCAGTAACTACAACAACAACAACAAAAACTTTCTTCTTCCCTCAGTCTAATCTCTCCTGTGCTGTGGTATTTACCAGCGATGGTGGCCGCCGTCTCCTCGGCCAGCAGCCTCTCCTTCTCCTCCTGCAGGTTCTCCAGCTCTCTCTGGTGTTTCCTCTGCAGCTCGTCTATCACCTTCTGATGCGACTCCTCCATGGCGGCAAAGCCCCTCTCACAGGTGGCCTGAGACACAGGAGAACACGGGACCGCTGTGAGTTTACGGGTCACCGGGACTCGGACCTAAAGGTTCTCCTGACCACATGAGCTGAGCAGGTAAAACCTTCCAGGCCCTTCAAGTACAAGCCAGTGCAGATCATCCATTCATTTCCAGCGAATAACTAGCAAGCTACAGCCTGTTAGCCACGAGCAAGTCGAGCCTGTGTGAGTACAAAAGGGTTAAAGGACTGACAGGATACACTGAAGGAATGCAGAGACAATATGAGAGGAGGGTGGAAGAAAAGTATAAGCTGCCGTTTCCTATCACGTCACAACATCCAGACGTTTGACAACATCAACAACCTCCTTTCTCCAGCTGAGCTCGTGTTGCTCTGCGGCTCGTATGTAAATCCTGATCTTAACGTTGGGTTAATCGGGACTCAAGACGGCCCTGAACCGCTGGACGTCTCAGATACTGGACAGACGTGTGTCTTCAGCTCCTCAGGAGGACGTGGAGGACACACTCCACTGCTGTTACTACGACACTGCGACTTTCCACAAGAGGGGATTTCAATGGCCCGACCCAGAACCTAGACCTGCTTCCGTCCTCTATTCACCGCCGCTAATCTGAGGTCTCAGTCGAAGGCCGCCACCCCCCCCCCCTCAGCCAAACAGGGGAAATGGAGGTCCAGTGTGTTTTCACAGGGATAAAAGACCCTGAGAGCTCAGACCCAGGAAACCACTTTGAGAGGGTGAACCCCCCCCTCCCCCGAGCAAATGTAAACTTCCTGCTCCGACATCAGACCAGGCAGCAGATTTATTCACAACCATGTCAGGCTGGTTTCTGTGTCTAAATACAGAGAGTTCAGAAAGTCTTCAGACCCCAGACTCACTGTTTCCACATGTCGCTGTTTTTTGTTAAAATAAAAAATAAATAAAAAAATAAATAAATCCTCTCATCGATCTACAACAAGTTCCCCGTAATGACAAAGTGAAAAACTGAATTTTAAAGATTTGTGCAAATGTATTAAAAAGTAAAAAGTGAAATCTCACATTGACAGAAGTATTCAGACACTTTACTCTGACTCTTGAAGTTTAGCTCTGGTTCCTCTGTTTCTCTGGATCATCTCTGACATGTTTCTACCTGTGGTAAAGTCAGCTGATTGGACACACACCTGTCTACATCAGGTCTCACAGGTAACAACACAGATCAGAGCAGAAACCACGAGGAGGGAGGAGCTGCTGCAGAGCTCAGAGACATTTCTGCACAGCGGCCTCCATCATTCTGACGTGAAGAAGTCTGGAACAACCAGGACTCTTCTGGAGCTGGACCTGGACCGACACATCAGGGAGAGGAACTGAAGAACCTGACGGTCCCTCTGAGCTCCAGAGAAACTTCCAGAAGGACGACCATCACTGCAGCTCTCCACTGATCTGGGCTTCATGTCAGAGAGTCCAGACGAAGCCTCTCCTCAGGGGAAGTTTGTAAAGAAGCAGCTAAAGGCGTGGACATGGACTCACTACTCAGACGGAGCAGTTCATTTATTTCTCTTAACATCCAATAAACTGTTCAACACTCACTTTTCAAAAGTCACAAAATGAATGAATTAATATGGTTCATCAGACCAAACTGAAAAACCAACAATTGTTCTGTCTTTGTTGTGATCGTTAAGAGTTTAAGTCAAGCACTGAGTCTAATTTCTAAAAGTCTGGGTGATCAAATCCTTCCGACCTCGGACGACCTTTGACCTCACAACCCATCAAACAGCCAAATTCAAATTAAAATAAGTTTTAATGAACTATTTTAAATTGGAAATCCAATGAAAAGACCAAAACCAACCATGAATGTGTCCTTACAACAAACACCGTCTGTGTATCAAAGCTCCTCTCTCGTCCGAAAACTATCAAAAACACATCAGTGAGTCACACTGTTGTTGTCCTCGCTGACATTCCTTCATCAACATAAACACACACTGTAGTTCATTATGACTCAGTCCCACATTCACCGTTCAGCTGCTGTAAATACTCACCAGACCACCAAGTGTGTATTAATGTGCCGCTGAAAATAGTCCCCAACAAATACACTACTTACTACTGTTTGAGCAACGTTTGCCAAAGACTAGAGCGCCCGGCTGATGTAGGAGGTTATTTTGACTTTTTTAAAACTGAAAACTGTGTATTTGTAAAGTCATATTTAAAGATTAGATTAGGGAGGTCAGTGTTGAGAGACAGTTTTGGTCTTTTCAAGACGGACCAGCCATGTTTTTTTAAAATGAACAAAAGTGGGTAATAAAATAGATCATTTCAATCTGGCCACATATTGAAAGATCAGTTCTCTCAAATGACAAGGAAACATTTCCCGACACACCTTTTTGTTGTGTTGAGTCACGCAGATAAGTTTAGGTTTGATTAGCAGAGGTTTTGCACTAAGCGCTGGAAGATTTCAACAGCAACACAGAAACCGTCACTGTGAAAAGTTTTTTATTGGGACCTAAGGCAGAAAATGCTGTAAACTGACCACAGTTTTCAGCATTAGTACTTGGATTATCATAAATAAATGGAATTTTTGGTTTTTATTCAGTGCCATTATTCTCTGCTTTGACGACACAAACAGAATTCCCTTTATCTCCCATTGTGTTGCAAATAAAACCAGAACTATCTGCGTGTCCAAAGACCATCAAGGGTCGGTGAGGAAATGTGTCTTTTCGGTAGTTGGGTGAACCGGCTCAGATGATCGTATGACCGCATCATCACAGCTGACCCAACAACTTCGTGAGCTACTGTCGACCGTGAGATGCAGAGTTTGCAGAGCTCTAGAAAAAGCTAGTAAGCAGACCTTGAGTAAAGATCATCTTGTCAAAGATCGGCTGTTATTCAGAGAAAGTAGAAGCTAAACTTAATAATTGTTAGTAGAAACAGCCAAAGGAAAAGAGGTAAGACCCATTTAAATGAATGTGTCTGGTGATTTAGATCCTAAACATTGAGAAAATGAAAAATGCTACGAAGGGTCAACTCTTTGCCCTTAACACTAAAATGAGGCGTAGCCGAGTCAAAGGTTAGTAAGCGCAGTAAACTACCGACAGAGGAACTCATTTCACAGCAGAGGAGGCTGATATGATGCGATTGTCTGGAGGAATCAATTAGCTTCTGTTGAATTATTTTCATACGTCAGATAAAATATCAAAGTTACTCAAAGTTCGTCAAGTGATGATGATGATGAAGCTTCAACAAAATGGGTTCCTCGGTACACAACTACTGCGGCGTCAACGATCACATGAACCTACGGGAGGTTAATTGTCATGCAACACAGAGGAAAAGCGGTTTTACGGAACAAAGAGCGAGAGTCGGGTGAGGTTAGGGTTAGGAGGGGGAGAGTCGGGGGGTTTTGGGGGGAGGAAGAGGGATCTGGGAATGCCACAAAGGAACACAAGGCATCACAGATGGAGAACGGCGAGGACAAGGAGCGCTTCCACCTTCAGGTTCTCCAGATCTTTCTCGTATTTCAGCCGCTGAGAAGTAACGTCGCCCCGCTCTTCACGCCGTCTCATCTCTTCGGTCATGACTGACACTTGGGTCACCAGCTCTTGGATACGTTCCTTCAGGGTCGACGTTTCGGCCGAAGGGTGATGCGACGGCTTCTCCTCATCCGACAAGGTCCTGTCCGGGTTGACCGGACTCATCATGCTTCTCAGCTCTTCCATTTCCCGGTCAAACCTCTCCATGAGGTTCGCCCTCTCCGTCTCGTGCTTCTTCTTGAGGTTTTCCATGCAGTTTGTCAACGAGTCAATCTCTTTCACATTCTCTTCTGAACGGAGACGCAGTGTCTCACTGGCCTTAGCTATTTCCTGCCTCATCTTTTCAGCCTCCAGCTCATAGCGATCTTTGACCTCTCGAAGCTCCTTCCTGTGCCTCGCTGTCATGTCATGGAGCTCAATGGTTTTATCCAGAGAGTCAATGGGCTCTCCTTCAATCTGGATCATAGTTTGTGGCCCTGTGGTTGTTTTCAAAGACGCCTCAGATGGTTGACTCTGAAGATTTGCTACTTTAGACTGGAGGTCACTGACGACTTCTCTTAATTTAGGACAATTCGGACAGTCCAAGCTACCTATCTCAACTTCCATCTGCTCTTGCTTTAGCTCTTCCTCATGCTGGACCTTCAGCCTGATGATCATATAAGACACGTACGCGTCTTTCAGCGCTTCGAGCAGATAGTCTGAGGCCTGTTTCTGCTCACTACCCAACTCGAAGCTCGCTAGAGCCGAAGATAGGAGCTCGTCATCTTCATCCAGCATCACCCTGGATGCCGTCTGCCTCAAACCATTCGACTTTGCCTCCAAGGCCTTTGTTAACTCTTTGAGAATCAAAGCGTTTGTTTTGTCGTTAAACCAGCAGTACATAGACGCAAAATCCAACTCCGTCTCTACCTCACTCTCAACTTTCGCTTGTGGAGAAATCCTACTAATCAAGATCATCAAGCGCTTCTGTGCCATCATCTGTTCTGCCACATCCCTCCCACTCTTCAGCCTGGTTTCCTCTGGGTCTACTTTGGGGAGGCCCAACAGCTGGCTCCAAAACTCTCCCTCAACCACCAACCTCATGTCCGTTCGACTTACAAGGAGTGGCTCTTCTTTCAAAGAACCGAATAAAGTGCTTTTTAAATCACCGAGCATCCTCTCTACGTTAACGTCTACCTTTGCTAACATCTCTACGACCTGATTAATCGCCTCAGTCTTCCTCTCAACCTCTTCTACTACTTTCTTTATATGTCCTTTATTGTCGACCTGCGTTTTTCCTGCTTCCACACACTTACTATCTGTCATCTCAGCTCTACCTAACTTCTCTCGTAGCATCCTTATTTCGTTTTCTGCCTCTGCTAGCTTCTCTCTACCGACTTTCTCAGACTCCTGGTTTAGTGTGATTAGTTCACTGTTCCTAGCTTCCAGTTCGGCACAACGCTGCTCTGTCGACCGCAGCTTTGCCTCCATCTCAAGCATCTTAGCTTGTGAGGTTTCCGGTAGCTCTTTCTCCGGGTGTATCTCCTCATCTTCATAATCTGACTGGAAGCCGAGACCTTTCAATGTGGCCTCTTTCAACTGCAGCTTTTTCTCAGTGTCTTTCAGGGTGCTGCCTAGTTCCTCTAACGTGACCAGAGCTTCGTGGAGCCTCAAGGATTTCTCGTTCAGCTCCCTCTCATAATACTCCCTGTCTATGGCGTTCGCTTGGTTTTCAGCCAGTTCGGCCTTCAGCCGTTTCAGCTCCTCCATGACCAGGTGATGCTGTTTGCCGCCCTGCTGGCCGATCAGCTCGGCTTTCAGCCTGTCTATTTCTCTGTCGGCCTCAGTCAGCTGGTTCACTATCTCCTGACATCGTTGTTTCAATGCCCCGTTTTCATTGGTTAACAGTTCGACCCTCTGAGAGAGCATTCCTATCGTCATCTCCTTTGTCTCAGAGTGGTTTTCGATCTTCGAGACGGGGCCGTAGGGGCTTTTGAGACTTTGCTTCTGAACCTTCCCCACCAAATCCTCCATGGTCAGAAGACGGGCTTCGTATTCGCGGATGCTTTCTCCTGCCCTGGCTAAACTCTTTTTTATCATTTCGTTTTCTATCTCCTGCTGGTACTTCCAGGTCTCCAGGAGCTTCTGAAGTTGATGCTTCTCTGTTGTCTCTTGATTACAACTATGGGATTTCAAAACCTTCCCCAGCTCCTTCAGAGTGAAGGGTTGACCACTTATCAGGTCTTCTAGTTCTTGAATGGCCTCTGGTCCGTCCTGGAGCAGGATGCTAATGGTTTTTTGGACGGGTTCAGGGGGAGGATCTTCCTGAACAGACGGTTTTTGGGGTTCAGAAAAATAAGGTTCCTTGATGGGGAGGTGAGAAAGCGTGAGGCCAAGCTGTGCCTGCATATTGCGCTTTTTCAGCTCTTGCACTTTCAGGAGCTCTTTGGTCTCCTGGTACTTCTTTGTTAAACTCTGTGCTTGAGAACTAACCAGCTCAGGCTTCTTCGTCTGGGGCGTCACATCAGCCTCCAGACCCAAAGGGGGCTCCAGCTTGGAAAAGGGGACCAGACATTTGGTTAACACACAGCAGGGGAGACACAAAGCTTGCTAATAATTCTCAGCGTTATCTACCAATCATTTCCCTCTAATTTCTATTAAACATGACAATTAGCATTCCCACATTATTATAATCAATTACTATGCAAGTGAACAGTGAACCAAAACAATTCAAAATTCCCTTAAGTTTAATGTTGTGAATTAAAAGCAAAAGGAAAGAGATTTAATGTCCGAGGTTAGTTGATCACAACACATGCAACATTAAATGGTTAAAAGTTATTTCATGTAGTAAGTAATGCAATATTAGTTTCAGCTGGATGGTTTACTCAAGGATGGAAGGCATACCAGGTCCTACACACACATTTCTCTGGTCCAGGCCAAAGTCTTACACTAAAGCCATTCTTTTCTGAGTGAAGTCTAATGTTTAAATATATTTTCAATTCTTTTCTAATGTCAACTGTAAGTCACCAAACTGTTGTATGTCTAAAAAACAAAAAAACAAAAAATGCAAACACTGCATCTTAATAATCACACCAATACTAATTTAAAGCAGCCGTAAACAAATGAGATCATCTATCATTCAGCCTCACTCTGGCGACAACATCCATACGTCGACTCACGGGCAGAAATTCTTCCAACATCACACATTTATGCCGTTACACAGCGAAACACAGTATCTGTTAACAGAGTAACAAATGGATGGTCTTCATAGCAGTTAATAGAAGATGAGAATCTGATGTCCATGCAAATAATTAGAAAACAAGCCAAGAGGTTATTCTTCATACATGTTGAGCCAAACATTTCAACAAGTAAAACTATTACCCACCAACTCTTCAGGATAGTATCACTCTAAATGAAAAGTTAAGGAGGGTAAATGACTATTTGAGTGAACGTCTAACAAGGAAGCAAAAAACTGAATATTTGATATTTACAATTGGTTAAAATTAAATAATAAAAAACTAAAAATTCTAACTGAAAAATTTTAAACTGAAAATTTCAACAGACAATGAAAAAATAACTTAAATAGCACAAGGACTTTAATACAAAACAAATAGTTTTTTTTCTCTCTTTCAAAATATTTTTATTTTCCTTCTGCCTTTCTCTGTTTGTGTTTTTCCATTTTCATATTCTGAACTGGAAAACTCTAAAATCACATAATAAGACGACAATGCACCTGAAAAAGTGAAAATAGAAAAGAGGCAGGAAAATTAATTAACGAAGAGAAAAAAGCACTTTATACTTTTCATGGTATTTTCCATTGAAAATGACGATTTAGTTTTTTCCATTTTCTATTTTTTTTTGTACTGATGATGAAAAGGAAAACAAATTTTCATTTTTTAGACGACTTTCTTTTTCCCTTTTACATCCAGTTGCAGCCTAATTATTCCTAGAAAACTGAGCTAAAAAATAATTAGTCTTTTTCATTTAGAGTGAAACAATCCTCTGAAAGTCACATCAACAACCAATAAACATGTTCTTTGGTCCATAATCAATACAATACTCAAGTTACTGCTAGCATGAGTTCAGGTATCGTACAGACCTACGACACGGAGAGAAGAGATTAACGAGTAGAAGCCAATTTAGTAATAAGATATCAATGTTTTTTCACATGCAATGAACTCATGCAAAGGCACATGTCTGTAGTCACTTTGTTGCTTCAATGTCAGTTTGATGTTTTCTTACAATAAAATACAACATGCAAAGAATGTTACAAAATTAAGAGGAAGTTACTGCTCAATTCAAAATATATGTATGAAATCTACATCGTAAAAGTGCAGCTGCTCGCTGAATACACCGAGACTGAAACTCACCGGAGAGATGTAGCCTGTCCGGATGTCCTGCTCTCTCTCCAGAGCCGTTCTCAGCTGGAGCTCCAGCTCCTGCTTGTGCTTGTTGGAGTCGAGGAGCTGCTTGTGACAGCTCTCCAACTGAGCCTTGAGGTCCTCGATCTGCAGGAGCAGCAGGGACAACGATTAGCTCGTCGTTACTTAAAAGGATGCATTGTGTATAATTGAATTCTTTTGATTCAGTTCTTTTTATAGTGGGAAATCACATGACCAATTACCAAAATGATATTAAAGTGATGTGTACCACATGACGAAGGAAATGTAGCAAAAAAATATAAAGGTTAAAACTCAAATCTGGATGGAGCTGAAACAATTAGTTGATGAATCAACAATTCAGTCAATGAAAACTTTTATTCTGAAGTTTAACACTGGGCCCTGATGTCTCTCTGAGTCTGACACAGACAGGAAACAGACTCTACAGTGGGTAAACGCACCCCTTGCTTGTAGTTCTCCAGCAGCTGCTCCAGCTCTGCCGTCTCTCTGATCTGCCCCGTGGAGGGCAGAGGAACCCTCCTCTCGTCCCGTATGGGCGTCTTCTCCACCTGTCGCCAGTGCTGTTCGATCACCTCCTCCACCCTCTGCTGCCTCTCCAGAGACGTGGGACCTAACGAATCTAAGTGTCCGACCCCATCTCCGCTCTCATAGTCCGTCCTCCCTCCTTCTTTCGCAGACGGATGCTCTGCTGACGAGCTGGTCACAGATTCGTACCTCTTCCGCCTCTCCTCCCTCCGCCGGCTTCGCTCCAGCTCTCCCAGGTCGGCCTGGAGGCTCTCGGCCTCCTGTGCTCTCTGCTGAGCCAGAGCCTGAGCGATGGGTCTGAACTCCGCCCAGTCGAAGGTCTTGGAGCGGCCTTCCCGTCGACGCTCGCGCGCCCGGCTCTTGATGACGCCCGGAGCGGATTCTCTCTCTACGGAGGAGGCCTCAGAGGAGGGCGAGTCCTGGGTGAGATCTGGCCGGACCAGAACTTCCAAAGAAGAGAATGAGCTATGATCCTCAGTCGACCTATAGGGCGGAGAGAAGGAGAGTAAGCTTCAGCTTCAAAAGTGCTGATCGGACCCAGATCACAGAGTGCTGTCATTTATTGTGGTGTTTCTCTCCTCTCTTCTACTTCCTGTTTCACCGTGTGTGTCCTAGCCCCTCCCCACACACAGCGGAGGGAGGACGGTTGACAACTCCTTACTTTAAGTGCAATAAAAGCTTTCCAAAAAGTTTTATAAACCACTCGAAAACTAAAGACGGACAGACGTCGACCCCAAAACATCTGAAAGTCTGGTGACAGTGACGAGGACGCTAGCAGGGGAAGCTAGTCCTGAGAGCGTTAGCAGCTGTTCTGCTCTTACAGCGACAAAGAGACAAAGAGACAAAGAGACAGCCCTGCCCCCAAACACTGTATATTTATATCATTACGGTTGATTAAGGTGTGTGATACCGTTGACGTGGTTGTACTGACCTCGCCACATCAGGGGCGGTGGAAGGTCTGACGTTCTTCATGACGGCCTGGATCCAGTTCCTGCGTATACCTCCCGTCATGGCCGACAGAGTGTGGACTCCCTCCTGGGTCTGAACATTTTCAAAACCACCATGAAATATGACAGAAAAAACACCTCGATGATCAAACGCCGGCGCAGTTTGACAGAAGAATAAAATCTACATCCCCACAAATGAAAAACATCAGTCTCTTACGTGGATCTGGAAGCCATAGTTACGTTGAGCCTGGTACTCAGTCACACTGTAACAGGTGGACAGGTCGATCTCACCGTCCAGGTCAGACGCCTGAGGTAACACAGAGACGCACATTATCCAAAACTTAACATCTCGATACGGTGCAGAACAAATATCACAGAGACACAGAAAAAGCTGCAGTGTTACTGAAATAAAAACCAATAAACTCACTTCCTCTGCAATCGAATCCTTGTAGTATCGCAGGCTGTGATCCGTCAACACAAACCAGTATTTCTTCCACTGCAACAAAAAGAGAGAAGATTGGTCAGAGTAAAGTCCAGAGACGGAGCTCTGTGAAGCACCTGAACACCGGGTCAGGCAACAGAACCAGCTCTTCATGTCCATCACATCACATAAAGACGTATTTTAAAGCCTCCAGGCTCCGCCCTCATCTTTTCACTCCATTGAAGACACTACATCAAAGTGTGACCACACCTTTGTAAAGGCCATAGGCTGCTAGACATTCAGCAGAGCTTTAGGTGCACATGCTGTTTGAACTCCCTGTTTGATCCGATGACTTTACAAAGGTTAAAACCTACGTTTGATTCTTCACACTCCAATCTTTTCTTAAACTGTAAATATTTTTGACCTTATCAGCTAAATTTTGATTTTAATTCCAAACTTTTACAGACTAATGCAGGTTACCTCCGATTTGAAAAGAAAACATAGATTTCTTTTGATTCATTATAAATTTTGAACTTGTAACCCCGTGGTAAACTGGCCATAGTTTCAAATTGGATGACTTGTTGTTTCTTTAGCATGTATCCACATCGTCTGGAGAAAGGGCAGATAGTTTTTTTTTATATTAGCTTTATTCTGATAGTCACAGTGAGAGAGAGAGAGACAGAGAGAGAGACAGAGAGAGACAGTGAGAGAGAGGGGGGGAGATGAAATGCAGCATAGAGCCACGGGTCTGGATTCGACTCTGGGCCTCTGCGGTTGGACTGAGCCCTCATGGCGCAGGCTCTACCAGGTGATCCAGAAAGGACAGAACTATTGGCACAGACAGTTTCTCCTGCAGGTGAAAAACCCTCTCGCTCAGGACAGAGGCAGCAGCACGGCGAGGCAGAATGACATCGTGACTTTGACTATTGACTTTATTCACTAACATCTCCTAGACTGACCATCAGAACACAAGCTAGATTATATTAATTTAAAAACACGTGTGCCGTTACATCCCCAGTTAACAGAAGAAGAGTTAACAGTACCTGTCCTTGCTCATCCAGCTTCACCATCCAGCCTTTCTTGAAGTTCAGTAAATCAGGCTGAAAACAAAGAAAATACACAGAGCCGATAAATCTTCTGTGGAGAAATCAGGAGCGTCAAAATGTGTCACATGCAAACAGCAGCAGTCAAATACAAACATGTCACTGCAGCAGGTTCCCACCACTTACCTTTAAATATAACTGATTAAAGCACAAAGACAGCTGCTAAATGACACTAAGTCGAGTACGACATTGTTCAGAAGCAGAACCACATGCTCACTCAGTCAGCTGAGGGTAGAAGTTGACCCTGTCCGTGGATCACACACTTTCAAATGGAGTGAGATTTGTCTTTCATGTGGACCACAGACCAGAGACAACTTCTGCCAGGTTGTTCTGTGCCGCTCCAGCTGAAGATGCAGGAAACACTGACACACAGACACGTGAACTGTGACCTCAGGAAGCAGTGGTTAGTTGTGACTGACACACACACACACACACACACACACACACACACACACACACACACACACACACACACACACACACACACACACACACACCTGTCTCTCATCTCCAACAGAAATATAACGACACACACGGGACACAGAGCGGGTGCAGTAAATACACGCAGTGGTCAACATCTGCACACATCAGGAGCAGAGTGAGGAGTATAACCTGCAGAGGAGAGGGGGGAGGAGGGGGCTGCACTGCACTGCCCCCTGCTGCACGGAGGTTTGGCCTACAACATCCACACCCTCGCACCACCACACACGGCCAGAGAGACGTCAGGAAACAGGTTTTAAATTTTAATTCAACCACAGTAGAAATCACACAGGGACATCAGTGTGAAACAGGAGAAGTGACAAGTCAGAAATCCAGGAGTGTGGAAAGGACTCCTTTAATTTCACTCAGAGGTCAGAGGTCAGAGGTCAGGGCTGGAGGTTGAATTACTAAAAAGAACAGTTTACTCATGTGATCTGCCTCAAAATACTTAAATATTATGTCTGAATCACAGAAGCTGCCATGTAAAGCCGGCGGCCTGCTGCTGGGCGACGTCCACAGAGACTTTCTCAATGTTTAATTCTTCCTAACTCTGTTACCTAACTGGATCCAGCCTCTCCGCCCCAACAACAACAACAACAACAACAACAACAGCCCAGTGACCTCCCTCCGCTCAGCTGAAGACCTGGCTCTGCTGCCGACTCGGTATTCTACTACTTAGCAGGAACAGGAGACGCTTTGTCTGGAGACCACAGACACGCCGAGACACACTGAGCCTCAGAGGGAGTTTGGATATTTTTTTGTGTTAGTTAATGTCAAAAACAATCAGAACAAATCTGAACTGAAACCTTATTATCAGCTGATCCTTCTCTTTCTCACAGTCTCCTCCTCTAAAAGTGTTCATGTGCGCCCTGGTTTCAGGTGTAACGATCGGTTAATTAACTGTAGGACAGAAAGTTAATTTTCAGTTTCAGAGCCAACCCGCAAAAAATGTGCATTAATAAACCACATGACCTGCAAACCAACTAATGCATTATAATTATACATAGGTACATTTAATTAGCTAACATTAAGTTAGATAGATTTTTATTATCAGACTGGACATTGACAATACTGGGACAAAACTCTGTGAGCTGCAGTATCAGTGGACCAGTGGTAAATTCCATAAAGTTTTGACCGGCCCTGTGGTGTCAGTCTCTGTGTACCTGTCATTCGGGGTGCACATAAGAGCATGGTCCAGGACTGGGCTCACTCCACCGTTCGACATGACAGAGACAAAACCCTGGATCCTGATGAGGCGGTTTCACAGAATCAGAGCAGATCAAAGACTCACCGTCATGACTGACTCGGTGGTCCTTCGGTCCAGAGACTTGGCTCTCCTCAGCGGGGGAAGGGTGGAGGGGAAGTCCAGACCCTGACCAGTGTCATGCCTCTGCTCCTGCACAACACACACACACACACACACACACACACACACACACACACACACACACACATAAATACACTTTAACTTTCCTGCTGCAGGTAAATTTACACACAAAATATTTAAAAATAAAAAAGAAACATTAAAATTTTTAACCACACACGAGTCAAAAAATAAATCCCAGATCAACATTACATCATGTAATTTGGTGTGTTCGGGTTGGTGGAGAAATGTCATGACAACCACTCCTCTGTCAAACACACTTTGTTTTTGAAGCTCAACTCTGCAGAGCGCGGAGCTGCAGAGAGCAAACACACAAAAACACACAACGACAGTGTGTGAGGCTGAACTTTCCAGCTCCGAATCTGTGTCTGTGTGTCGTTTAAAACAACAGTAACAATAACTGATAAGTACTGTGTGTGTGTGTGTGTGTGTGTGTGTGTGTGTGTGTGTGTGTGTGTAGCACAGGACACACAGTCCCTCTCTGCATCTTTTGTCTGTTTGGGATATTTTCATCTGCATGTGACAAAGATCCAGAGTTTATTGTGTGTGTGTCAGTGTGTGTGTGTGTGTGTGTGTGTGTGTGTTGGGTTTCTGTGTTCCTAAAGTCCAATTCTGGGCCGTTCTGTCCGAGCTCAGGGGACCAGGGTGGGAAAGGGAAGCAGAATCACCAGGGGAATCCCACCGCAGATTGGAAACTGGAAATGAATACAGCGCATGCTGCCGACCTCTGACCCACAACCAAAACAAAGACAGGACAGAGAGAGGGAGAGAGGGAGGCAGGAGGGCGAGGGTGAAGGGAAAAGACAGAGGGGGTGGGGTGGGGTTGGGTGGGGGGAGGTGCTGGGACAGGGCCCAGGCCTGGTGGGTCCAATGCTGAGCTCACATCTGCTCCACCATGTGATGTTGTTTAAAAACACTGTTTACAAGTCTCACAGTACCGACTGTAAACCACCAGTGTTGGCTTCAATGTGTACACACACACACACACACACACACACGCACGCACGCACGCACACACACACACACACACACACACACACACACAGCCAGCCTTACCTCTCTGTGGAAACGTCTGTGCTCACTTCGGCCCTGTCTGGCTCCGCCCCTCCCCGACTCTTCCACCTCCATTTTCTCCTGGTTCTCCAGCTCCAACGCCTCCAACTTCTCAATAACACCGGAGCGACTGCAGACCAACACAATGATGTTAAATTAATAACAAAGCATTCATTCCTTATTAACTCTTAGGTTAATAAGTCCTGGTCCTCAGCTGGACTCTCTGTGGTCCCAGTATGATCTGTTACTCAGACCGGTTTCTCTCCCAGCACAGACTCCGCTGCTGGTTCCACCTCATCATTGGATTGAGCTTCACACTTCATGGTGTTTTCATAAATTCTTGTCTTTCTAACTCCGACTTCTCTCTCACCGGAGCTCGGCGAAGTTACCGCTTCTACTTCACATTAAAAGCTTTCCCCTGGTGAACCGACAAGAGGCTTTTATTTTGAAGCAGCGATAGGAAATACAGTTCGTTGGTGGTGATGCTTTTCTTCTACCATATATATCCGTTCTGCACCTTTGCACTTCTGGATGTAAAACTTCATCACTTCATCAGTTTATTCTGTTAGAAATTCTGTCATAATTAGCCTTGACCTTTGACCTTTAAAATCTAATCAGTTCATCCTTGAGTTTAAAGGAAACACTTGTGCCATAGACACTCCCTGAAGGTTCCTGAGGTGTCGTGTCAGGAGAACTGGACAGACGGAGAACCTGAAAACTTAACGCCTCCGGTCACAGCTGTCAGCGGCACCGAGGACAGAAAATTACGTCTGGAGGATCGATCTGGAAAAACAAAGACTCAGTGGTGTCTGTGTTGCAGTTCGCTGCCAACTGACCGACTCCCACACAGACTCTTTCCTCTGGCGGAGGAATCTGAGTGAGAGGAGGAAGAGGCTGAGTGGTACGACTCGTTTTGTCTTCATGCTGCCCTCGCTTCTTGACTTGAAGGAGAGGACAAATGTCCACCATGTGATCGTTTGAGGCAAGAGTATATATTTGACAAGGCTGGATCAACACGAGTCCTGCTTGTATTAATGACGTTTGCCAATCACGTTTCCCCGGACTAACGACCTGCAGCAGCTGCAGCGTGTGATGAGAACGCTCGAGCCTGTTGACTTTTATCTGCTCGTTTATCAAGGATCAAATAAAGTTCAGTTTCACTTTGGTTTAGTTTCTCGTTTCCTCTCTCACTGTTTTTTTTTTTTACGCACAATATCCACCTAGAAAGTAAATATATAAAAGCTGAAAAAGAAAGATCATGTGATTTTTATTAACTCTCTGTGTGTGCGTCTTCCAGGGTGTGCACGCTTCTCAGGTGGAGATATAAATTTTGGCAAGTAGCACAAGCGTTTCCTGTTCTCTCATTGGCTGAATAAGCCATAAATATTTAATAATATAATAATATTTATTTCTGCCATTGAAGCCTTAAAGAGTAACCGACACTAAATCCACTTTATGAATTAATAAATCACATGTACTGTCACTTTATTACACAAGTGATTGATCCTGGTCCCTGAAATGTTCATTACAACAGACACAGACAGGAAAATGATTTAGTTCACCATGTGCAATAATTAACAAACACCGTCTGTGCAATATCTTTTATCCACTCCTATTTTTGTTATATTTAAATACCTAATTATACATATTAAATTATGATCTCTTCTCTCCTCTCTATGATATTGACATTTTGCCGTTTTTATTTCCGTGTACTGTCCACTTTGCTGCTCTAACACTGCAAATGTTCCCACTGTGGGACTAATAATAAGCTCCATTTTATCTAATCTTATAATAATTAATGACATTTCCTGGGGCAACGCGCCACCAAACTATGAGGCAGCGTCACATTCACCCACCACCCCAAACACAACGAGTTTGGCTTCATTCTTTGAATTTGTTAATAAAAAAATAGGACATTAAGTTGCTCTATAAGAGTGAATCCACTAATAAATTCTCTGTTTTATCCTTTATTTCATAGTTAACTGTAGTGGCTATTTCTTAAGCATTAATTCTTTTTTTTATGTCTTTATTACAGATGAGTTGTTATAAACTGATCTGATGTGAAATCAGGTAAAAGTGACTGAAGTCAGAGAGTCCTCTCTGCACCAAACTCTCTCAGATGGACCAGTGACGTCATGTGTTTATGAGGCAGCGTGTGGCCACTCCTCCTTTTCCCTCTCATGCCTGGTATGGATGGAGGGACTGGAACGGCACAGGAAGCTGGCTCTGGGAGGAAAAAGATGACCCCCCGCCTCACCCACTGGGTCTGTGTGAAACGTGACCATCTCTGGTGCATGAGAGTGCAAAACCTGTGACTCTACACGAACGGCACAGAGGCTGTTTACACAGTCTGAGCTTCAGTTAGTAACACTGGTGACAAAAAAGGAAACTGACGGGGAGGGGTGATTATTAAGAGACAGATTTGGTCTGAGAGAAAGACTCAGATATGCAAACATCAAAAATCCCAGTATGTCTTTATTTCACCAAATGCAGCCTTTTCCCTCCTTCCGTGTGTGTGTGTGTGTGTGCGCATGCCTTTATAAGGAGAGGCCAGAGGCTCTCATGTGTATCCAGACCACAGCGTCTGCAGCTCGGAGCTGAGATTCCTAGAAAGCATCTGCCGAGCTGCTTCATCAGGATAAATCACAGACTGATTCACTTGTCAGTGACAGTCAGGTGTTGTGAGGCTACGAACATCACTTCCTCTATAGGTTAAAGGTCGTATATAAAAGATTTTAAAACAATAATACAGCAGCAAACATCTGTTTTCTATGTGAAGATGTGGTGGAGTAATGAGAATCCTACGAGCTGCTGAAGGCTCCAGCTGGTTCCTCTTCTCCTCCATGTGTCGGTAACGTGAAGGTTCATAATGTGACACGTCTGTTTTCATCAGTGACAGCTACAGTAGACATGCTAACGTTAGCTAACCTCCTGTTACCTATATTATAAATGCATTCAGCAAATGTTGCTATCGCTACATATGGACACAGACATACAAAAATGCATAAATAAAGAAATGTAAAAATACTGAAATATCCTTTTTTTAAAAAATCAAAAACAAATTTATTTTGTATTCACTTATGTATTTAATTATTTATTTCTGCATTTCTTTATTTATGCATGCTAATGTCATATTTTGTCCTCCATACAGCAGAGCTGCAGAGCAACCTTCACTATTAATGAACTGGTTCAGTTCAGTTTGTTCAACCTGTGAAAACAGTTGTAAAAAGTCTTCAGGCAGAAATTTGAGACTACAAATTTAGAGGAAAAAGTCTGTTTCAAACTGGACACACACAAGTTTGAAAGATGTTGCATTATGGGGATTGTAGGATTCAGTTTTTATGGAGCTAAAGTCAAGAAATATCAGATATTTTTGCAGGGTTGTGGAAAAAAAAACAAGAAAAGTTTTATTAAGAAACCTATAAAAATGAATTGATGCAGCACATGATGCTCCAAACTTTAAAAACTTTGCTCCTTTTAAGCCAAAGAGCTGAGAAAGGTAAAGACATGAGGTGAGACTGTGAAGAGACATTTAGAGACACAGTTAAAGGTGAGTAAGGAACGGGTGCTGACCTCCTCTCGGGGCTGAGGACGGCCTCCCTCTCCTGCCTTTCGGGGCTCCTGAACCGGCTCCTCTTCTCGGCCTTCCTGGCCTCGGCCTCCAGGCGCCTGGCGTGGTGGCCGTAGGCGTGGCCCGCCCTCTGGTTGGCCGGGTGACTGTCGGTGCTCGTCACCGTGCTGCCGCTGGCGTCCGAGTCCAAAGAGCTGACCGAGCCGCTGATGTGGGACCCGTTGGAGAGCAGGGAGCTGCCGGAGGGGAAGGGGTCGCTGGGGGCTGGGGAGAGGCAGCGGGGGACTCCTCCCAGGCTGGAGCAGGAGCCGGTGGGGGAGAGCAGGTCGCCGGGCGGCTGCAGCGGCGAGCTGTGCAGCGCCACGCCTCCCCGGTCCACCTCATCACCGTTCACCGAGCCTGCGTCTGAGCCGTGGCCCACAGACGCACCGTCACCTTGACGACGAGAAGAGCAGAGGGTCACGATAAACTTTACTTCCTGTTATTATCTGTATCTGATTCACAAACACGGTCTGGGTTCTTCTATACACAGGTGTTACTCCTCTCTACCTGCGGAGGCCAGTGGTGATCCTGGCGGCAGGTCGGCAGCGGCCCAGACCGCCGCCCCCTCGGCCTCCCTCTGGTTCAGCTCCTCCTGCCAGATTATGGAGCTGGAGTCCGGGACCTTCTCCGCCTCTGGGATCCCAGAGCCGGTCACCGCCACCTTGGCTGGACCTGGCTCCTGGACACGAGCACACGAACACATCAGGAACAGGAAGAGGAAAAAAGGAGGATGCGTTATCAACCGATGACACGAACCCTCTTTGTTACCTGGGAGGTCGTGGGCTCCACCTTGCGTTTCTTCTTCTGGTTCTGTTTGTTTGTTCGGGGGTAAACCACCAGCTGCTCGCTCCACCTGGAAACAGGCGGAGAGTGTTTTCTGAGTGTTACCTGTGCATGAACATCCGTCTCCACCCAAACCACCAGCAACACACAGCAAGGCCACTCACCCGTTGATGATCTCTTTATTCTCCCCTCTGATGAAGTACTCCTGCTCCGGCGTGACGATGCACAGGGAGTTCTTCTGGCCCGTCTTCGGCTCGGCGTCGATGACGTCTGTGCAGAGGTTCATGTTCACGGTGCCCTGAGGCAGCGTGCTCGGCTGCAGGAGACACACGACAAACACCTGCTTATTGCACATCCTGTGTACTGGTGTTACTTCACACTAGAATCACCTCTCCCCTGGTTGTCTGCCTCCGCCACTCAAACTAGTTCCAGGTTACATCCCTGTTCATCCAGAGTCGTGTGAAAGTCTCGAGTAATGGCTAAAAAAGTGTTTTGTGAGATCACCACAACTCTGACCTTTGACCCTTGAACACCAAAATCTAATCAATTCACCCCCTTGAGTCCAAGTGAATGTTTGTGCAAAATTTAAATAAAGTCTGTCGAGGCGTCACTGACATATCGTGACCGTGAGAAAGAGAGGACGGACAAAAACCACGAGGCTCTGGCTCTGCCCGGCGCCGTTTTCATTCTTAAAAAAGGAAACCAATTAGTTGTTCATTTCTCTTTTTTTTATATTTTCTACTGCTCTTTAATAAAACAAAAGTATTTCTAATCCAGTTACTTGATAAATCGATGGAATCATCGGTAGCTGCAGCCCTCGTGTCATTTCACCCGCGGATTAAAGCGAGAACGGAATAATATCAAAGAGCATCTGCAGGAGTGGGACGAATGTGGAAAAAATGTAAATGGAAGCTTGAGTCACTGGTTTCCATCCGTGTCCATCAACTGGTTTGTTTCCATACTGGTTTGGAGACTGCCCAGTTAAACACTAATATCACGGGTGCTGACAGTCCCTCAGTTCCTCGCCCGCCTCTCTTCCAGAGGCAGAACTCGGGCCACGTCAGGCCCGTACCGTACGGACACTCGGCTGTGATCACCAGCTCACCGTGGTAACACGGCCGACCCTTTCAGACAGCGGCGGGACGGCGGACTGAAGCTGATTTGTGTGAGATCAGTGGAGAGTGCGGAGCTTTGTCTGCTTTTATAAACCGGCTCCAACACTGAGGAAACTCTCTGCAGTGAACCCAGAGACATGCTCATCGCTCTGCTGTAGGTTCCCCGTGTGTTCTGTGGGACTAGATCGAATTGTGAACTTATTGTCTCGTTAACATGAGAGTGAAAACGTCCTCTGGACTTCCTGTCCGACGTGCCCTGTGTCTGCCGCTCTGTTATCAGCCTCCGCTGGGCTCCGCCGGCTACAGATGTAAAACAGGTGCTGGGTCTCTTTCCAGCTCCTTTTAAGGCCACTGAACACAGATCCAGCTTTATTAAGATCTGCCTGTAAACCCCCGGGGGCTGCCAAATATGGCAATTACACTGCGTCGCACTTCAGACACTGGAAGAATTTCCCTCGCTGGAAAAAAAAGAAAAGAAAAAAGAAAAGAAACTGATCGAGTTTGAGAAGAAGTAGCAGAGACTCTGTCTGAGCAGCGAGGAGCCTGCAGTGTGATAACAGCTGAGGTACGAGTGGTAACATATACACACGACGTACGTTCAGTACTTAATCAATCACCACTGATCGGCCTTTCTGATCAAACACTTCCGGGAACTGTGGAGCCACAGGATCTAAACGCAGAAACTAAGTCAGGAGGTCAAATCCGTAGAACTGAAAGGATTAGAGCCGCAGCGATTAGTCTGAGTGATCTATTGATAGAAAACTAAATACGAAGCTGCTTTGATAATTGATTAACGACGGTTTCAGGTCGTCAGATGTTAAAGTTTACTGCCTTTCATTTTACAGCGGTATAATTCTACTGTTTCCATGGAGACGGTTGATTTGCTGCCATTAGCACTTGTGACACCTGTGATTTTCCTTCCTTTGGTCACTAAAGGTCTTTTGTGCAACAGTTTAACTTTAAGTGATTCTTTAAGTATAAAACTAAGATGAGGAGAAAACCTCGAAACACTTCAATGAACATTTTAAGGAAGAAGAAGATTTAAGGTGATTTATGCCACCAGGACCTTTAGGACACGAAAACATATTGAAAGTGTATTTGCTGTGATACGTGTGAGTGTAGTTTGTATGACGCTCAGCAGAGGTGAAGGAGGAGCTCACAGAGTTTAATCTGTCCGACTCGTTGGTCTTTAGATTTGCAAAGTCCAGCTGATCCGGCTGCTCAGAGTATAACAGCAGCTACTCCAGCAAAACAAAGGAGACGTATCTGCCAAGGCTTCCATTCAAACACAAACAAGTGGTCGTGGGTTTGATTTCTACTCAACTGGGCCAATTCCATATCCTCCAATTGTGTCTGTCTTCCATCAGGACGACTATTCTTAGCTTAGCTATGGAGTATTATTAAAAGAAACGACTTTCTCACAGACTCCTCCTGAGATTTCAGCTGCGGCGGCTGACATGACACCAAGGGCTATAAAACACAGAGAGACAATAGAGCCCACAGGGGGCTGATGGGTAAAATACTTTACACTGAAAAAAAAAAAGAAGGGATGTGTCTATAAGATAATTACCCCCAGGCTAAAATCTTTACTTTCCAAAAACTAGAATCACCTCCTCGTGGCTGTCTGCCTCCGTCTGCCTCCGTCACTCAGACTAGTTTCAGATTACGTCCCCGTTTATTCAGAGTTTATAAGAAGATAAAATATTAACCATTTGTGTGAAGTCTTGAGTTATAGCTCAAAAGTGTTTTGTGAGGTCACAGTGACCTTGACCCTTGACCTTTAGCCACTAAAATCTAATCAGTTCATCGATGAGTCCTAGTGAATGTTTGTGCCAAATTTGCAGAGGGTCCGTCTAGGCGGTGGCGAGATATCGCGTCCACGAGAACGGGACGGACAGATGGACAACCTGAAAACAACATGGCTCCAGCTCTGACTGTCACCGGTGCGGAGGAATAAAAAGAGATGTGACTACGAGGTAATTACCCCCATGTTAAAATCTTTACTTCTTATTGCAACTTTCCAAAAACAGAAACGGTGAGAGCAGCATGAAAACAGAAATCACCAGAGGCAGCTGTGGAGTTAAACGGGGCAAGTCACTCCATAAATGATAAATCCTCCAGGAGGGTTTTTACGGGCCGAGGGTTCTGGAGAGGAGACCGCTGTTTTATATGGTGCGTGTTCCTCGACACAGTGCCCTCCATCAGGACTCTCCGCAGACCGGAGCTGTACAGTTACATTATTCTGACTCTGTGACGGACCGGCTTTAACTTTCTGAAACACGAGGCCGGTCTGGACTGAAGAAACGTCCTCATGGTCACTGACCCTTTGACCCCTACAGCCTGATGAATCACGTATGTAACCAGTGATGCTCTTGATAAACTGCTGCTCTCACTGCTGAGCCGTGGAGCCGGGTTCTCTCTGTGACGGGGCCGTGGGTGGAATGTTTGGGTCTGGGGCAGATCTGACGTTTCCTCTGTGGTTTTCAGGGGCTGGAGCTCCTTTCTCCTGCTCTCCGCGGTCCCGCCGGCCGCAGGCTCACTGCAGTTCACCAAATAAGGGCATTGGAGGAGGAATGCTGCTTCAGACCAGAGAGCATCTTTCCCTCTGGTCGTGGTGAAAATACTTGAGCTTTAAGAGGCCACAGCTTCAGATAGCACCCTGCTGTCTGCTGGGCAGAAAATAGAAGACGATGTCATCGCTGCCTGGACCTCGTTCTTCGAGAGGAAATCAGAAACACGGAGCATCGATGTGGGAGAGACTGATCCACTCAAACACTTTTTATCTTTATAATTTAAAGATGTAGTGACTGAGTCCTGAAGACAATCTGTCCTCTGATGTTTCTATCATCATCGTATTTGTATAAAGCACACGCTCCCTAACGTATCATCAGTGAATAAAAACCTTATGACTCAACTCGGTTGATTTCTTATCCAACAAGCTGATAAAAGCCACGAGTCCAGATGATGTCAGCGATCCCGGATCAACCTTAGCGCCGACGTTAAAGCGATAGTTCGTGTAATTTGACGTGGGGTTGTGTGAGGTACAAATCTCTACTCTAAAAAACTTTATTTTGAAAGTTTCCACCACTTTTTCTGCCGTCAAACAGACTTTTACTTTGGAACTACATACGGCCGCTGAACTACTGTATTCCTACGCACAAGCGCATCTACGGCGTGCGCTGTATTACTCCACAGATTAGCTGTTTGAGTCAGACAGAGCTAACTATAGGTGGTTGAGAAAATGTAGTTCCCAAGTAAAAGTCTGTTTGACGGCAGATGAAGTGGTGAAATTTTCAAAATAAAGCGAAGACTTCAGTACGGCAGCTCGTCACTCAGCTCCTGTGCCCCCGGCCGCCTCTCTAACCTGAATCTACTGCAGGTAACACACTGACTACAGGTAAGTACCTCACACAACGCCACGTCTAATAACCCGAACCATCACAATCTGCCTCACCCGCTCGCTCATGCTCTCACGTCCCTGATGGGGACAGTGCCTCAAAGCTCTGACCCCCTGTTTGACAGTCAGAGTCCACACCTGTCTGAATACTCAGGATTTCTCTGACCTCTCAGTTCAGGACGCACCTTGAGATCCTCAGGTAAAAGGTCTTTAGTCTGTTCCAGAGACCCGGTTGAAAACTGAAGGGGACAGAGCCCCGAGGATCTGGATCGATCTGCCTGAAGGAAACAGGACGTCTGAGTCTGTGACCTCCTTTTAAAGTCTCTTCTTAACTTTTATCTGAGAGTTTTTCCTGATTTTACTAAAGTTTTATTTTCCCTTGAATTTTTGAATTTTGAACGACTCGGGTTTTTATAAACATGACTTTATTTTTTCTTTGAAAACTTGTTTATGTCTCGTCTGTTTTATTTTGCTGCAAATTGTTTTTACACTGAATTTTCAGATTAAAACAGCAAGAAATAATTAGTGATCTTTAGATTTTCTTCCGTGAGACAGAGCCAGGCTCGCTGCTCCTCTCTGTTTCCGCTCTTTATAACAAGCAAGAATGTGAGTACGTGGAAATGTAAAACTATTCTACTAACAAGTGGAGAAATCTGTCTTTCTGTCGTTCGATTTCTTCACAGCTACTCATCCGTTCGACTTCATACTTTGCTGAGGAACCGGAGAAAGTGCAGCGTCCATCGTGAAGGACTTGGATGAAGAAACGAAAAGAGAAACATTAAAACGACGGCTGTATGGCCGCTGGGCCTGTGGCAACAGATCCACGTACACCCACGTCATCGACGCGTTGCAGAAACGGCTGCGCCCGGTCAACGTGTACAAGCTGCAGCTACAAAACCTGCACAGGATCATCTGAAGTGTGGGAGTATTTCTGACAGAAACCCGAGCTCTGCACACTGGAAACGTCTTATCACAGCAGCTCAACAGCTGTTCACGGTCACTGGGTACGAAACCATCACAGAGCGCTTTGTTTAAGACGCGACAGCAACACAGCACTGCTTTGTTTACTTTTTGTCAGCCTCAAATCATATAAATGAAATGGACAAAATATTAGGAACACCTCTCAGTTTAACCCAGTACAGTTCATCAGACAAATCGCAGCCTCCACAATGACCGAGTCGAATGACGAGGATGAAAACGTATAAAGTTTTTAAACCACTGGAACCAAGATTTTAATAGTCTTTAATTTTTCATTTATTTTTATTTTTATTTTGTTTTGACTTTTTGTTTTCATTCATTCATTGTTTGTTAAGCTTATTAAGTTTATTGACGAAATTTTTTTTCCACATCTGGTTTTCATTATTTCGTTTTTAATTATTATTATTATTAATAATAATAACAATAATAATAATAATAATAATAATAATAAGTTAATAATAAGCTTGACTGGAACACAGCCCTCTCCACCACAGAGTGAGAAAAGATGTCTATGCAAGAAGTTGGCAAACAAACTGCTGATAAAATACAGTCATCGCTCCTCTGAGGAGGAGCTCTCTTTCTGTCATGCGTTGCCATGACAACAGTTATTAAACTAAGCTAATGTGATGAAATTCAATCAATTACTAAGAGCATACGTGGAAGGAAAAAAAAAACTTCTGACATCTTTTTACTTTCTGTCAGAACTAAACATGAAGGACGCTTGACGTCAGGCTGCTGAAGTGTCTCAATATGAGGAGCTGAAAATACTTTTTTATGGAGGTGCTGAGAGGCGTGAAGTCCTTGTTATGAGAGGCGTAGCAGAGATAATGTGATCAAAAGAGCAATAAGACAAACAGAGAGAGGGCGTGGCCTGTGTAAATCTCTCCTCTATATAAAAGCCACATGAGAGGAGCGGGCGCTGTGGATCTAAGCCTCAACCCTGACCTCAGACAAATCACATCTGTCCTCCACCGGTGGCTCGAGCCACAGTGTAAACAATGATGAGTTTAATGAGATCGGGACCATTAACGTGTCGTTATCAGAGTTCCTATCCTCGGGGTCCGCGGCACAAAGCAGCCATTTCCCTGACCCACTTCTCCTGCCTCGCGGAGCAGATGAAAAGAGCGCAGGACAATGAGGCAGACAGTTTTGGAATCACTGTTACAATGAGAGGAAAACACAACTGCACACCAGCCTGGGTGTCACTGGAAACACACATTACACAGTGGAAACATGCACACGCACTCAAGCAAACACAACCAAGTTTCCTCCCATTGTCATCACTGGCAACACAAAGAGATTCACCACATGTGACTTCAAACGGCCGGCTCCTCTCCCCTCAGAGAGTCCAGCTCTCTCTGACACACCTGCTGACAGGCTCCTTCATTTTAAAAATAAAGACACGAGGTCACTAGTTAAAGCACCAGTTAACCAGAATCGCCTCCTTGAGGTTGTCTGCCTCCACAAATCAGACTACTCTCAGATTTCACCCTCGTCGAGTCGTATAAAATATGAACCACTTGTGTGAAGTCTTGAGTTATGATGAAAAAGTGTTTTGTGAGGTTACAGTGACCTTAACCTTTGACCTTTGACCACCAAAATCTAAGGTTCATCCTTGAGTCTTAGTGTATGCTTGTGCCAAATTTAAAGAAGTTTGGTCGAGGTGTTACCGAGATATATCATGTCCACGGGAAATGTGACGGACGGACGGACGGACAGCCTTAAAACTAAACGGCTCCTGCTCTTTGCTGTCGCCGGCGTTTCATCTTCTCGCCACAGGTAAAAGTCAGCACCTGTGTCGCTGGTGTCGAGCTGCTGCTGTGTGGCCCCTCTGTGTTTACACATAAGCAGTGGAATCTCCAGCCCGATCAGCCGGTGTGGGTCACCTGTGTCACATTCCCCCGGCGACACACCACCACCACAAACACAGGATTACAACAGGCACAGAGAGGTAACTCCCCAGCCTCGTACTCTGAGGTCCTCTAATCCTCTTTGCTGCTTATTGAGGAATCCGTCTGCGCTTTAACTACCAGTGTTTCACCAACATATTTTACATAATGTGAGTGAAATGACGGACCTAGAGGAAACACGGTGCTTGTCTCAATTGCTCCATTCACTCCCTCTATGATAGTGAGTGGGTTTTCAGTGAGGTGGCACATTTTCAACACTGCTGACTTGGTTGTTTTTTTTATGTTTATCCTCCATCAGATAAGCCTGCAGCTTCCTCATCACATTCACAGGCAGCGCTTGGAAAACCGTACACACCCTGCCAACAGATGAGCCACTTGATGAATGTGAATACACGCGACATGACAGAGGTTAAAGCTGGAAACACGCTATGAGAGACGGAGAGGTTCAGATTGGAAATGTCGGGGGACGTAACGAGCGTTTCATTAAGCATGCATGCGTCGTCCACACGGCGCACCAAAGAAACATATAAAAGCTTCCTGCAGCGTTTTAGCTTCACTTCAGTTCACAACCTGGTTGCCATGGAACGAGAGGAGGAAGGATGAGAGGCAACACTTACCGATTCGTCCAGGGCAAATCGCAGACAGCCGTGTTCGTACAGCACGAAGAATCTCCTCTGCCATTTCTGTCAGGAGAAAGTGTCTCTGTCAGAGAAGCCTGATATTGAACCACAGTAGCTCAGTGTTTCCCTTTTTCTTAATTTCATGTCGTGAAGTTGCAATTACAAGATGCTACAGGGGGCTTTTAATTTGAAACGGTGGATAAATTGGAGACACTTGTTGACTTGTTGTTGATAAATTGACTGTTCATGGCTCACTCTGAAGTTTTCCAGTACCGTATATTTACATTAATATTTACATTAAATGAACTATTTGTAAGTTTTGCTATTGCTACATAGCTAACATTAGCATTAACAGCTGTTTACTTATCAGTCTTGCCGAGATCTTTAGCGATCGTTGCGTTTACAAGACAAAAGGTTATAATTCATTCTCTGAGCAGCTAATTAAAGAGTAATTAGATATCATTAGATAATTAGCAGCATAGGGAAGAGACGAGATGGGCCAACCAAGCCGGGGCTAGCTGGTTAGCATGCTAACTTCAGTATAAGAATATACGTGGTAAAAACAAGAGTTAAAATCGGTGTTTGTTTCCACATCTGGAGACAGATGTTGATGAGTAGATCAAGTTTGATGCTGAACAGACTGGTAAGTAAACAGCTGTTGGCCGTTAGCCATGTAGCTATAGCAAAAACTAACAAACAGCTCCCTTAAGCTGTTCATATATTTCCACAATTGTCTGATGGTTGAACATCTTGCAGAGCTTCAGCTGTTGTTGTGTTCAGAATACAAGAGGTTATAATCAGAGAGTGACAAGAAGCGGCTAGCTGGTTAGCGTGCTAACTTCAGTAGAAGAAAAGAAGTGATAAGAAATAGAAGCAAAACAAAAGGGTTTCCTTCCACCTCTGGAGACAGCTGTTGGTGAGTATCAACGTTCCTTCTAGACTGTTGAGTAAACAACTGCTTATGCTAACGTTAGCTATGTATCAACAGCGAAACTGACATATAGCTCCTTTAATGAAGGAGAAGTAAAAGCATATACATGCACTGTAATTAAAGTACGTGTATATCCTTGTTAACAGCACGTCTATGTACAGGCTCTTACCCGGGATCTCTGCATAGGATTGTCGAAGTCAGTTCCCTCGGGGGCCAAGCACAGCCATCCACCATAAATAGGTTTAGCCTGTGAGAGTGGGGAGAGAAAAAAAAAAAAGAGCAATTTAGGTAATCATTAACACTACAAGACAGTGTGAGCTGAGGGGGGATGGTCGGGGGGAGAGAGGGTGTAAATATGGGGGAGAGAAGCCTTTTGGGGTCCAGATGTTGCCTCTGTTCTCACAGCTCATGTTGCAGCCACACAGTGAGCCTTTTGGTTTGATGACATGTCTGAGTCTCTCTCTCTCTCTCTCTTCTGACTGGTGTCATTGTCAAAACACACAAACATATCTACACACAGGCGCCAGATTCACCTCCTGGACTTGTTTGACCACAAACTACCTCAGTCCCAACAGTTGAAAAGACATGGAAACATATAAACAGAGGCTGGGCACTCTCCGTTAACACTCACAGTCTCTGCTTTAAGTGTTAACCATTAGTGTGCAGCTCTCATTCCAGCACCCCCCCCCCCCCCCCCCCCCCCCCCCCCCCCCCCCCCCCCCCCCCCCCTCCCGACCTCTTCCACAAAACTAACATGTCTGATTATTCTAATACTGGGCCTGTTACCGCTCCATGTCACTGCATGCCTGCCATAAATATATATGTGCCTTGTTTCAACTTGTGTGGACGTGCCTACGAAGGCAGCGTCGATGAGCTGAAACCATTAAAAAGGTTATTTTGGAGGGAAAGAAAGTCGTGACCCAAATAAATCTAATCACTGTGGTAATTTGACAGAACGAAGACAAACGGTGTCAGTCGATGTTTTTGCCGTCCTGCGCCGAGACAGACTCGACAGGAGAGGAAGAGAACATGGAGCGGCCGTTTCACAGACTTTCAGATGGCAGACGAACACATCCCTGGATCTGATCGCACACTTGCAACAACACACAATGGTGCTGACTTCCTCTGCACTGATCCTGCAGTGAACCCCACACCACCACCCCTCCAGCCTGGAGGTGTACAGAGAGCCTGTGGTCTGAGGCCACGTCACCTCCTCACTACAGGAAATCAGCGGTGAAAATAAGAATATTAATGATGGCTGAATTCCATTTAGCTGCTTCAGTTTCAGGGTGGGGGGGTGGGGGGGTGGGGGGATCTGGACCAAAGATCATATGACAATCTTTTTGAGTGGAATCACAACCCACGATCTGATCTGCATCCTGATTTTATTGTGAAGAAAATCAGACTGGAAGTTGTCATTCGCATCTTTCCGCCGCTACTCTTCACCGGCGATGCCGTTTTCTGTTTACGAACTGTCACAATCAAGCAGACTTTCTTCTTCTGGAGTATTCGTTTAAACTAGAGCTGCACAATTAACCAGAATCACAAAAAAAAAAACACAAAAAAATTTTCAGTGAAAAGGTGAAAAAATGATCATTTCAACTGAAATCGTGACTCATCAAAATATGAAAAAGTCTTGGTCTCTATTGCTAATTTCCTCCTTCATGAAAACTGTTTATATAACTCAACTGTTTACATTTTATTAAGGCTTAAAGTTATGGAGAATTGAGGGCGTGGCCTCTTTGAGTGACTGGTGGGTGAGCGTATGCTCGCCACAAACCGTTATGCAATGAAGTCTCAGCTCCACACATGCCCCTCCTCTTTACCCATTTTTGGATTAGCTGGGAGTCAGGGGGCGGAGTCAGACACTGCCAAGATGGTGACGGTGGAGCAGCTCACTTTGAGCTTCAAAACCGCTCTTCAGAAACCTGTGGGTGACGTCATGGAGGCTACATCCATCTTTATTTACAGTCTTTGCGACAGTGTTCTCAGGTCTGTGTTTTCTGAAGAGCATTTTGAAAAGCTTTGAAAACATCGGCTCACGTTGGAGCTGAGGCCAAAAACTGAAAGATCGAGTCATCTTTTCAAGTTGGTCTGTATTAGCACAGATGTGTGGGTGACAAGAACAAACACAGCTGGGTGTGACACCGTGTAAAATCATCCTGCTATCACAACAGTGATCCTGAATAGAAAAGTCCTCCTCACAAACACTGTGTTGGCACAAAGCCATGGGTGGGAGCCATCGTGTATTTAGCATGAAGATGAGCAGCCTGCAGTCAGTGTCTGTGCTGGAACATTTGGTACGTGTTAAAGCTATAGCTCTGTAAAGTTTGACTCCACTCTGTATCTGTTAGTCATAACCTCACAGAGTGGGATGTGGAGCTGCGGCCTCTGGGAACCTCTACTCTCATTTCCCAACCCCTCACTTCCTCTCCCTCCCTGTGACTCCCGCTCCCACTCCTTAAGTCCCATCACATCCCCGGCCCGTCTTTCTCCGAACCCTCCCACGTACATGTAAACCTCAGCCTGCCTGCATCCTCCATCACTGTCCTGCCTCCCACCGCCACCTCCAGCGGATAGTGTGATCACTGTTCTCCTGACGAACACTTCGACTCTCCGGGGACAAAAAAAGTGAAAACCGTGACACCGTGGCTGGAGCTCATGGGAAAATAAAAAAAAAACTCCCCTTGGAGCACATTGACTGAAATAAAAGATTTCACCCCGGCTCCAGCAGCAGCCCCTCCCCCGGCCCACCTTTTATACTAGCAGTGTTGAACAAAGAGTTTGTTTATATTGGATACTGTCCTTCCGACATTCAGCTCTGTTCCCTTTGCATAACTTTTCCATGCGGGCTATCTGTTTCAAAGCTGCATTCTCAAGCTCCAGCTCCTTTTAAGTCCTGAATAACTTTCATTTAATTTCAGGCTCAAATTCACACAGTAAATTACCTATTCACCATGTTTTAACAGCGTTACACGGCTTCACTGGAGCTTTCTGTTTTACTGGGTTGTGGAGTTTATCCCCTCTAAGTCAGCCCGCATCAGTTTACAGAGTTTACAAAGCTTTGCCTTCACCTTGGGCCTGTTGAACAAGACTCAGGAGTTTAACACTGTTTACGTGGTGTTACATAATACAGCTTTAGACCAGTAATGGACTGGTGTGTGTAGCACTAACTAGTCTGGGGGCTGCCCAGATAGAATCGTTACAAAACCTGCTTGTGCAACTGAGCTCCCTGCTAACTGTTTGGATAGCTGACAGACTGCAGACATTGTCAAAAGCCTGTGGGCAACTGGAACAACAGTGATGAGCCAGCACTGATGGCATATCACTGTCGAGGGCCGGGGCGGTAAGCCTCTCTGGTTCCAGGTGGCGTCATACGGGGTGTGGGAACGAGGTTCGGCCAGGTCACAGGGAGATTTTGAGGAAGTGATGTAACCGTGGGCCACCTATCCTGACTCAGGAGTCTGACATTTAAATGGTTAACCTGCAATAACCTCAGTGGAGCGAGAGATACACACTTTGGAAAAGAAATGAAGCCTGTGCCACACACACTCACAGAGGGAAGTGGATGCTGACATCGCTTTTTGGCTCTTGAGCCACGTTCAAGGGCTCATCTGGGCCTCATCGTCTTGGATCAATTACAGGACACAGAGACAAACTAATGATCTGAGAGAGAGGAAGAGAGACTCAGGAAACTCATAATGTGATCTCCACGGCTGAGTGGAGCTCCTCTTTATCTTTAGCTCCACTCATCTTCAATCAGGTTCCCAATAACCTCCACACAGTGCTCTCCAGTCTGCCTGGAGTAAACAGCCACAACAAACAACTGCAGATAAACAACAGCTGGGGGGGGGGGGGGGTTAATAAGCAATCACAGAGACCAAACTGCTGAGCAAATGTGAGCACTGTAATTAAAGAAATTCACTTTCACCAGTCTGTCAGAGAGAGGGACTGAAGAGGAGAGAAGAAACCTGAGATGTGATGCGTTACAGCCAAAATAAACACCACAACTTCACCTACTTCATACCTGTGATTGCCACATACAGCTGTTATGAAGGCTGTAACTAACATATATCCGTTATAACTCCATTGGTTTCCTTTATAACTGTCAGCCTACATTCTTATAGCCTTACACAGCCCAGTCATCGTTTCACTGCCCACACTCTGGCAGAAAAGGATTGTCTTAGGATCTTAATGTAAACATTTTAGCCTACCTGGGTCAGATCCTGGTCCGTCAACAGATGCAGCTCCCGAGGTTTGAAGCAGTTCTGACATTTACTTTTGTTGAAGAAGTTCGCCTGGAATTTCCTGCAGGGGTTTTCTTTAGCGGTAGACATTATATTTCAGCTGTTAATTTCTCTTTACGGGACTTTAATGTTGTAATTCCGCTGTTTTCTTGTGCGTCTCTTCTGGACTAACTCCGGTGCATTTCAAGTAAAAAAGAAAAAAAGAAAAAAGACCAAACAGGAGTTGAACTCTTCGGGGAGGACGTTCAAATCAAACCCTTCTCCAATTGCTGCTTCCCAATAAATAATTAGCTGCCATCAAGCCAGCCTTCTCATCACCCAGCCAGTGATGAATTCCTCTCAGTCCATGGCCTGCAACCACAAAGCGAGAAAGGTGGCTAATATCCTGTTAGCTCTGCCAATGGATTTCCAGATCAATAACGTGATGCCGAGAGCCGCAAAAACAACATTTGCACACCGTTATCGCCTTCCAGCTCCGGGGCGATAGTGTCCATTAGGCAACAACGCACTCCCATGCGAAGGACCCAGCCCAAAAGAAAAGCTCTCAGTCGGGCAGCGGGGCTACTCTCCCATCCGCAGCAGTCAGTCAGTCCATGCGAAGTTCATCCAGCGCTCCCTTTGCTAGGCTACGGTTAGCTCGGTTAGCTAGCTCACAGACAGGCTAGCAAATGAAAGCTTCTCCTGGCTGGCGTCTTCAACTTGACTTTTAAAAAAAAGAAAAGAAAGAGACGGTCCAGAAGAATCCACACGGTTCCCGAGCTTTTCTCCCAGACAGAGGCGCTGCATGCGGAGAGAGCCCCTCACGGCCGGTCACAGTTGGCAAAAGGAGTATTTAGGGTTTGGTTCCATAACTAGCCTCATTAGCAGCATTAGGTTTATTTTCTTCTCTCCCAACGGAGCGAGGGGGGGCGGACAGAGCACACATACACACACTCACACACACACACACTCACACGCTCACACAAGCGCCTGGAATTCTGTGGGATCTCGCGATAACTGCTCACTATCGCCGCCCGCAGAGAGAACACAGTCACTGAACTGTTTTAATACTAAATAGAAGCTTTATAAAAAATAAAATAAAATATAATAATATTCATAAAAATATAATAATACTAATAAAATAATAATATTGATAATAACAACAACAATAATAATAATAATAATAACAATAATAGTAATAACAATCATTATTATTATAAAACAAAATTTAGATAGAAAAATAAATAAAGATATTACTAGTATGTTGTTTATTGTTCTAGATTTGTTGATAACGTGAATTGCAGATAATAATAATATTATTATTATTATTATAAAACTATTTAAATATAAAGATTATGAAGATATTACTGGTATGTTATTGTATGTTGGTCTAGATTTGTTGATAATGTGAGTTGGAAAAATATCTTCCATACAAATATCTTCTTACCAATGAAGTCAGGGAAGTTGCTTTTAAAATCACAGGCCTTGTTGTTAACTGTTGAAACTGTTGGTTTGTCTTGGTGTTTGTTTGTGTTGGTTTATTTAAAACTTGTAACTACATCTGTCAAATAAAGGAGTAAAAAACACATTGTTTCCCTCTAAAATGTGATGCAGGATAATTATAAAGTAACGTAACGAAATACTCCAGTAAAATACATGTACCTCAACTTTTTGAATCAATAAAAATAAATCAGTCAAAACGTCAAGTGAGGCCTCACATGATGTCCATCTCTTCATGCTGGCAACAAGGGAACATGCCTCAGATACTACCCACCACATATGTGTGTATTAATGGCTGAGTCAAGCAGAGGCTATTCTAAGCAGCAGGTTACAGTGGACAGCAGTGGGTCAGACACACAGACAGACTGAGGAGGAGAGCTGTATGAATGGACGGAGGACACGGAGGCAGGAGAAGAGCCCTGTTACCTAACTAAAGCCAGAGAGAACAACAGTCAGTCCTGCTGAAGGATTAGCTCCTGCTCCGTGCTGTAAGTGAACCAAGAATAACACAGATTACAAGTGTGTGTGTGTGTGTGTGTGTCTGTTGTGTGGCTACTGTAGACGTGTCTTTCACAAGTCGACTAACTCAATCATGCGTCAGCTCAGACACATGGGCTGAGCTGGGAGCTGGGGCTCATATGTCATCATAAATACTGGCTTTAATGTGGATTAACGTTTATCTCAATGTGTTTTCGCATATAAACCTGGACAAGTAGCTTATAAGTGTGAGCCTCCCCTTTGCCCCCCCTCGGGGTATCCTATGACAATATCCTGGAGGTGACATAGTGCAGGCATTCTGTGGCCACTGCACAGCCAGAATATATTTAGCTGTTCTTCTCTAACTCACTTTACATGGTAAGTGTGTTAGCAAGGCCACCGAATACAAAGTCTGACCCCAGGGAGTTTAACACAGTCAGAGCAGAAAGCTGCAGTTTGTCACAGTTAAAACAGATACAGGTACAGATCTGACATGTTAGTGTGTCAGTCAGGAATCAGCTCATATTGTCCACTGTACAACAGCTATTTGACATTTTTTGGAAACTCACTTATTGCTGATATTTAGACGAGGAAAACAACAACCGCTCTTGAATCTGTCCAGGAAATATGAAGAAGGTGGTAGCAGCTAGTTAGCTGAGCTTAGCACAAAAAACTGGAAGCAACTGTCCAAGGGGAAAAAAATCCACTCATAATAATAATAATAATAATAATAATAATAATAATAATAATAATAATAATAATAATAATAATAATAATAAACACATGCGTACAAATAATAATAAAAATAAAATATAAAAGCATGAGAAATGTAAAAATATGTGAAATATTTAAAAGAGGTGTGAAATTAATGTTTTTAGAAGTGATTTAAAAGAAGATACTGATTTACAAATCTAAGCTCATCAGGCAGGTCAGTCCACAGTTTAATATATAAAAAAACAGTGTAAAAGTGAAAACAAGAAATAACATAAAACCTTTGGACAGAGCCTGTTTTCTGTTTTCAGTCTGTATACTAAGCTAAGCTAACTGGCTGCTGGCTCAAGTGTGATAGTGGTAGTTTATCAATCTTCTAGCTTTATGCCACAAAATGTCAAACTGTTACTTCACAATACAGAACCAGTAGCTCCAGATGTTGAAGGCTGACTTACATATTACTCAGATTTCACTCTTCCCACTGTAAACAGGAAGAGACACATGATACAGAGAAGTATTGTCTCACAGCCTGAGGTTCACTCTCAGGAAGGTACTGTCTCACACACATGATTAACTTGGACAGATATCTGCTGACATCCTATGAATTTACACAACAGTAGGGACTCTTACTGTTTCCATGAAATACACTGATAAGGTGAGACCTGATAAAATCCACCAGCCATTATTGGTCTCCATGATTGAATCAATACCAAACACAAAGAGGAGTCGTAGATAAAGGAAAATACATAGAGAGTGGATTTTCAGCATTCAGATAACTGAGATGAGGTCAGTAATTACTGTCACGTCCACATGTTTTTTTGTTTGTATTAGTTACCGACACCTTGGGAGACCTAAACCCTGATCCTGGTTCTTCTAAATCAGGACTGTAGGTCTGTACTGACTCTGTGCTCTCCCCTCTACAGATCATGGCCCTGCCCTTTGTGGTGGTGTTGCCCCTGCTGATAGTTGTGGCAGCGGGGGTGTACTACATCTACAATGAGGTCATACGGTTCATGTCCAAGTCCTTGGTGCGAAACAAAGTGGTGGTGATCACGGACGCTGTGTCCGGGGTGGGGACTGGTAAATAATCCTACATGTGTTTTTAATATTTAACCTTATTTCATTAGCATGGAGGTTTTTGTTTTTAACCTGTCTGTCAGCAGATTGTATGAAAAGCTGGGAGGCAATGATGTGATTCAGATCTCTTATCGTATAACAGCCATGACTGAAATTTTGTTTTTTGAACTTTTAAATTAAATTTTTTTATGTTATTTTACAGAACAATACACAACACAATGCCTGACATAGGACCACACTGACCTAATGAGTTGTGGTTGGCGGATTTGCATCTTTCCAATTTCAATTTGCCATGACTGAAATTCTAAGAGCATGATGCTTTGATGAACAGTTATAAGGCAATAGTTATGAATTTTTAGGAAATACACTTATTTGATATAGTAGATTGATAACATGCAGAATATGAAGCTGAGGTAAGGAGGCTGTTAGCATATCTTAGCATAAAGAAAGACAGCAGGGGGAAACAGTTAGCTTAGCTCTGTCCAAAATGTAAAAACGTTACTGTAATTAATGTCTTAGTGAGCGTTTAGAGGTGCTGGTGCTGGAGTGTTTCTCTAACTTTGGATAGAGCCAGGATAATGTTCCCTGCCTATTTCTAATCTTTATGCTAGGCTAAGCTAATTGCCTCCTGGCTCTAGCTTTTTATACACAGTCTATGCTCTAGCTTCATATTTAGCGTACAGACAGTGGAGAGGTATCAGTCTTGTTAAAACACAAAAACAAAGACTGAAGTGTGACACATAACCCCGCAAAACAAGATATAACCTTTCTGTCTACAATCTGTTGATATAACATGCTAATTAGTTAGATTTAGGGGAGCTACCACACAGATTATGTTACCTTTGGGCGAAGCCAGATTAGCTGTTTCACACAGCTTTTAGCATGTATGCTAATCTTAGCTTCATGTTTAAAGTAAAACCTTGATATTTTGAGAAATATGATTCTATTTTGTTGAGAGTTTGATAAGTAGATCAATACCACTCTCATACAGTAGCTGTAATATATGTAGATGCAGCCAGTTAGCAACCAGTTATCTTAGGTTAGCATACAAAACTGGAAACCGGGAAATAGCTAGCCTGGCTATATGTCAAACTGCCTTCCAGCTCCTCTAAAGCTCACTCAAAAACCAAAGTGTAAAATTGACAGTTTGTAGGTTAATGAGGAGTTGAGTGTCTTTATGTTGAGGTAAGCTAATCGGCTAACAGCTGTAGCTTTGTATTTAATGTACAACTTTAACTCTCAGTAAAAGAAGTTATTGCAGATAACACATTTCTTCTCTGTTGGTCTGTTCAGAGTGTGCCCATCTCTTCCATAAGGGCGGTGCCAGGCTGATCCTGGGTGGGACTAACTGGGATAAACTGGAGTCTCTGTTCGACTCTCTGACCAGTGACGCTGACCCCAGAGAGGTGAGGAGATTAAATCAATCAAAATGGTGCATCAGTTTCATTATAAACACGCCAGACTCTGAGAAAACACCTCCAAACTAACACCATCACTCTTCACTGTTTGCTCCGGTACACATTATCATGTCTATTAATACACATTGGAAACTAAGCAGTACGATAACAGTTCTTATTTTAGAGCCCTCCAATAGCCATTAGGAATTAACACGACAGCGACATGATGAAGTGGGTTTAAAGTTAAAGCAGGAGATCAGCAGGTTCTGTCCTTGTATTTATCACAGTCCTCCGCTCCGTGGCCTCCTCCCACATCACCATGTCGTCCTCCGATCGACACAATGGCAGGATATCCTCTCTGACAACACACTGTCCTCCATCAAGCCTCTGCACACAGACCAGAACAGATGTCTCCCTGAGAAAAACAGACAGTAGATAACAATATCACCCAGTTTACAAAGATATGGACTCACTCATATTGATGTTGAGTTGTCAGTGACACAGATTATGGAAATGGAAAATATGTTTCCCATTGACGTTGTCCTCAGGGCAGCATGTGTAGCACATTTATTTATTTATTGTCTCTTTAACAGGACAATGCACGATACGTTTGCTGTAGCAGACATAGCTAAGCTAAAAGCTAATTTTCACCTGCAGTACCTGGGCAGAGGCCTCCAGTGATGGGCAGGTTGTGGAAGTAAAAGATAACAGTCGTGGTGATTTAAAACCTTAACCTTAAAAGACATTAATATGAAAACCATGCGCCTGATATTTTCAGTTCTGGGCGACAGCAGTGGATTATATGTTATTAAAATAGATTTTTATATTATAATGATATATTTTTCCTGTCATCACTACAAACTTAATGATTCAGCTTTAACACATCTTTTATCATTTTATCTTGTTAATGCAAGAAGCCTTGACATGATTACACAATACCAACATATGTTGTTAATACAAGAAACTTTTGTATATTTTAGCAGGCTTAATTATAAAGCCGTTATTAGAGAGGACAGGAAATGAGAGGGCAGAAATATGGGGAATGACATGAAACAAAAGTTGTGACTTGAACTAAATGTTCTTGTGGTTCGTGGTCAGCACCGACACCCAGGAACAAAACACTTGCCTCATTATTACATGGGACACTGGGTCTTGAGTAAATTCATTTCCCACAAATGTAGTTTTACAGATATTTTTTAATCTGGAAAAAGCATATTTATGAGGATTTATGATGTTTCCACACACAGTAAAGTAACAGTTACAGTCTTCTGTCTTGTGTCTCTTGTCTCTTGTGTCTGTCCAGACTTTTGCCCCCAAACTGGTGATCCTGGACTTCAGTGACATGGACAGCATGGAGGACGTGGTGTCCGAGGTGCTGGAGTGTTACGGCTGCGTGGACGTGCTGATCTGTAACAGCAGCATGAAGCTGAAGGCGCCCATACAGAGCGTCTCCCTGGAAATGGACAGAAACATCATGGACGTCAACTACTTCGGCCCCAGCGCTTTGGCCAAAGGTGGGCCGGACATCCCGGAGATAATCAATACAGTATCAATACTGTTATGATTGAACTCTAAATGGTAATGTGTCCAAACACTGTGGCAGGTGTTCTTCCGACAATGATCTCAAGAAGGTCGGGGCACATTTTGCTGGTGAACAGCATCCAGGGCCGACTGGCCGTCCCCTTCAGAAGCTCATGTGAGTCCTCACCCAAAGTCTCCGGTCTCGTCTCTTACAGCATCGAACCAGCAGAGCTAAAAACTGTACTACAGTAGATGTTAATGCAAGAAACTCTGACATGATTACACAATACCAACATATGTTGTTAATACAAGAAACTTCCTCTTGTATATTTTTTAGCGACGTTAATCAGAAAGGACAGGAAATGAGAGGACGAAACAACATGGAACAAAGGTCGTCGAGGTCACTGAGGCTCGAGTAAATTCATTTCCCACAAATGTAGTTTAACATATATTTTATAATCAGGAAAAAACATAGTTATGATAACCACCATGTCACCTCATTACTAATTGATTAAGTAAAACATGCTGTTGTTTAATCAGTTTAACAAGCCGATCAATATTTACAGCTCGTGAAGTGATTGTAGAAATATGAGATAAAACCGTCAAATGAATTATAAACAGACGGATTTCTTAAATACGGATATATCAAAGATGTGCTCTGTATTTTCTCTCTGTGAAACGATGCTCACTGTTCCCTTCAGCTCTCATTTTCTTGGTGGTTTCACACCTGAAGCTCTGTTCTCACAGTGTTGGAGTTACAGACAGGAAGTGACATGACAGAAACACGTAGACAGACTGTGTCCTCTGTAATGTCTGGAATGAGACTGAGACTCTGGGAGCGAGTCACACCTGCTTCTGTGTTGTGTGTTTGTCAGACGCGGCGTCGAAGCACGCGGCGCAGGCCTTCTTCGACTGCCTGCGGGCTGAAGTGGAGGAGTATGGGATTGTTGTCAGCACCATCAGTCACACCTTCATCGACGCCTCCCACCAGCCCCTGGCTGCTGGAGAGCCCGCCCCCAAGCCAAACGCCCTGGCTGCATGTGAGTACAACCACTTGGTGGCGTTGGTGCAGAGGAAACAGACAAACTGTTTTCATAATGTTCAAATGATCCTTTTTTAAATCTACACGTGTCCGTTCCCTCCACAGTTATCGCCAGTCAGCTGACCCACGGTGTGCGCCCGTCCGTCCTGGCCAATGAGATTCTGCAGACGGTGAACAGAAAGAGGAAGGAGGTTGTGCTGGCCCACCCCATCCCCAGAGTGGCTCTCTGCCTCCGCTCCTTCTGCCCCCCCTTCCTGTTCGCTGTGCTGGCTGCTGGAGTGAAGGACTCGGTGCTGGCCGAGCAGATGTAGGAGAGAAGCTGGAAGTTTAGAGGGAATCAGACAGACGTGAAATAAAGCACGAGATGATTGGAAATATTAGATCTGTGATAGTGTTTGACAAAGTTGGACGACCCTCAGGGAGCCTGAAGCCTCCTGGTTCAACATGTGGCAGTTTGTTTATGGCAATTTAATTAATAATTGAATATTCGTCTGTTAATACTGATCAATAATAACCACTAAAGTGAAAATTTTCAACTGTGGCTTTATAACTTTTACTTGAAAATAAAGAATCTCATTATTTCTTCTTATGGACGAGAACAGAACAAAACTCTGACTATTCTAAAGGTAGATTTTAATCAGTCAGAGAGTCAGTCTGAATGTATTCTATATTCTATTATTATTATCATTACCAATAATAATAATGATGGTGATGATGATAATAATAATAATTATTATTATGATAACTTTATTTGTGTTGCACCTTTCATTCAATAAATGCAACTTTACATAAAAGAAATTACATGAACCAAGTGTTTTACATGAAAAAGAAGAAGATAAAAACATGAATGTAAAATAAGATGGAATAATAATAAAATGATAATGTAGAAAAATAAAAATAAAAATGAAAAACAAATGAAATAAATAAATAAAAGTTAAAAATATAATTCATATATATATGACTGTAATACACACTGGAGTGTGGTTCAGCAGTGGATGTCTTTCTGTGTGTGTCCTGCAGGTGGCAGCAGTGTTTAGTTATTAACGACTGTGGGTTGAGACGCTGATGAGTTTAACCTTTGGAGACTTCCTGTCACAATCAGCTGTTTATCTGAGAGAAAGAGTCCCAGTGTTTGTTCTGCTGAAATATGAATGAATCAGTCAGTTATGAAAAGTGTGATGAATAAACATGAAATGATGACCTTTGACCTCACTTCTCCTCTAACGTTGCAATAATTACACACATATATCCGTATGATATTAATAATGTATATACAGATATGGACAAAGAGCTTGTTCAGGAGCTGTGACGTTCACACATGTTAACACGTCCAGCTACGTGTCACTCATAGATTTATTACTCTCATCACTTCAGGGCCGGAGGACAGAGCTGCAGCCTGGTATTATGTGGTGAGGATTACAGTGGTGGGATCATCAGCTCTGAACATGATGTATATTCTATTTTGTGATTGCTGTGTGTATCAAACACGTATAGAAAATAAAATAAAATAAAATGTCATGCACAACGTCCAGCTCTGTGACAAAAGCCCTTTGTGTGACGATTGTGATGTAAATGAGAAATAAATTCAGAGTGGCTGGTCGGAGCCGTGTGTGTGTGTGTGTGTGTGTGTGTATGTGTGTGTGTGTGTGTGTGTGTGTGTAGGGAATATTGGCGTCAAGTCCAGCTGGTATGCGTGGCTCTGTCCTCCAGGTCACTCTCCTCTGGGGAGTTGAGCGTCTTTTGTGTGCAGGGCCTCTGGACAGGAATGTGCCTCTAATGTTGACGTGAATAAAATCAGCCTCGTGACATTTCCTCATGTCAGACAGGAAGGACTTCTTCAGCGCACTCAGCTGGACTCTGCAAATTGGCATTTTGATCGGACGCATTTACATATGTCACACAGAACTGCCACATCATGTATGTTTCATGGTGTAAGATGGAGGTGAGCCCGCGGATGAATAATTGTTTAACAAGATTTCCGGAGCAGCGTGTTGCATGAAATCGGCCGTGACGCCGTCAGATTTATTTCTGCTGAAAGGTGAATCAGACAGGAGCGTGTGGAGGTGTGCAGTAATATCGGTGAATGATCTCAGCCTAATAGTTTCCCTCCATCATCTGCCTGCACTCTCTGGTGAGCAATATTTAGATAAGGCCCAAACAGGAGGAAGATGATGGTCCTGAAGCGATATTCAGAGTAATGCATCCTGAATGACTTATACATGAGAATCCCCTCACTGGGACGTCTGCTGCTCAGAAATTGTCTTTCCATGAGCGAGGTGATCACCCTTATCAATTTTTAAAGCCCAGCTTATTGACACTAACCTGACTTATGGAGGTTATGCGGAGGCCATGGTAATGATTCCCTGAGCTTTCACATACAGCACCAGAGGGGCCGGCTCTTACTTTAAAATATTGGTTGATAGCCGGACGTTATTGCTCCAATGAGTATTACAGTAATGTCTGCACAGTGCTGTGTCTCTGTGTCCATCTGTTGTTTCTCTGGGTGTTTGGTTCTGCCCTGTGGTGAAACTGTAGAGACACACAGTGTTCACACATGAACCGGAACATGATCAGCTCACACTGGTCTTTTAATAAATGGTGAAGGTTTTCTCCCTGATCACAAACAACAACAACATCTTGAAAAACACATGGAGTTTTATATTTAATCCCTTTTCTCAGGGATGTTTAGCAAATAAATTGGTCTTGTAAACATGACTGCCCTGAGGCACAGGTAGAATTAATGGCTGGTTCAGCCCCCACAGCGTCAGGGGTCACATAAAAAGCTGTTTCATTTCAGCGCAGATATTTATTTCAGTGAATTTCAGCTTCTTACTTCTTCATATAGTCCCTAAAGTGCAGAACAAAACGATATAAAGAGCTTTGTTCCAGCGGCCATCACTCATGAATAAGTTGTAGTAACATTGCATAGAAGCAATGTTTCATTTATTTATTTTTATTTACCCTGTGCATGTCTGTTAAATGTGTAAATCTGATGACTCTTTTACTGCAAACCAAATACCTGCCTGCCTTATTGAGTCGTTTCAGCTCTCGTAGAAATTAGAAATAAAGAATAAAGAATATAAAAGTATTTTCTTTTTGCTGTGTACATTTTATTATTTATCATTACTATTATTTATTTGAGTAAAATTGTTTTTAAATTTGTTCTTTCTATAAAAAGCGAAACTGTAATAATTATATGTGATTTATTTTTATTTTGTAAGTGATTTTTGTTCATTTAAAATATTACACTGGTTGTTGTAAGATTTCTCTCCTGGTTGATCAGGCAACGCTTGTGGTTTAAAGCTCCATACAGTATAAATGTGTAGTGTGATTATAGATCAGGTCTAGCTTCTATATTAATACTGTGAAAGTATCAAAGCCTCAGTCCACAGAGAAATGCACACAGCCTGTATTCAGAAACTGAGCCTTAAAACCAGCCGTCAGGACTTCTGGAACTTTGTGATGTCACAACAAAGCAGTCACCAAGCCCCGCCCACCTGGACCCACCATCCAAACCTTGCAGGATTTGGTTTCTCTGAGTGTTTTTACCTGAAATCTGCTATAGTCAGCCAATCAGTAGAGAGGATCAGAGCCTCCTCTCTTCATATGTGATCATATGGGTTCAAAAACATGTAATATTCTATATTTCCTATGATGAAAATAGATCAGTTCATAGTGAAATCAAAGTAAACAGACAGCTGTGTTAAATTAATGCTTTTTTTTATGACTTTTCAGGTCAATAATTTATGCAGTTTATGGAGTAATATGACAATAATCTGCTCTTTCAAAAGTTCAAATCTATTGCATCCTCAAAACACCTCCTGAAACCGAAGTATTTAGACAGAGCGACCTGTCAGCGTGACTATGCAGGATGAAACTATTCTTTAAAGGCATAATCTCTGCATCACATGTCATCTTGAGAAGGGGTTTTATCATATGTGGTAGAAGTCCTCCTAATCCCGCGGTCCTGTTGGTTTTGAAGATTACACATATTTAATCTTAAAGGGAAAGTTTGCCTTAATCTCAGATCTTCCAGCCTCTCATTTCCCTTCACCTCAGAAACTCTTTCTCACAGTCACCACATGAATCAGGCTCCGCTGGCTGTTACAGATTAGAGACTTTTAATGTTTAATCCTTCAATTTTTCTTGCTATGGGACAGAAAAGCATTATAATGTTTCTCATAACCCTCAAACCAAGAGGGACCGCACATATAATTATGTTACCAGCGGATGTCAGAGAGATTTAAAACAGGGTGAACTACAGGGAATAAGCCTTACAGCTGGACCAGGAGAAATCCTCCATGTGGAGCAGGAGTCCAGCGTCTCTGTGCTGAGGACAGATTTGGATTAATTTGATAACATGCAGAGATCATCGTTTGTTTTTTGGGAGTTATAGTAACAGCTCTGTGTTTGAATGTCAGACTGTCAGAGAACTTATTGATCAGATGTTATTAAAGCTCGAGTCTCTGTATTGATTGTCTGTTATTATCGGTGGATGTATCGGGTGGTAACTCAGTGTTTAACGTCAGGCTCTGGTCTGATGTGTTGGGTTTTATTACCGTCCTGTAAATAACCGAGTCCATCTTTGATCATGTGCACAAAGACCTTTATGTTTTTATTTAACAAAGACGTCTGTAACCTGCGCCTGTTACTGTGTTTTATTAAGGAACAATTATCAGTGTGTGAAAACATGTAGTGCAATATTTTTAATTTTATTTAACACAAAGACGCAACTCAAAGTCTACTTACTCGCTTTCTCTGGAGGTTTTTCCGAGGTTTTGAGAACAATGACATTAACCTGCAGCTCAGCTGACTCCGGGTTGTTTCAATGCATTTACCATAAAGGTCAGAATATGGGTGCACTCCAGATTTAGGGCCGGCTGGCTCGACTGCAGTGCTTCATGGACAAAGGCCGGTGTGTCTTGCTCACTCTCTGTATATACACTTATCACATGTGCACAAATGAACGAGAACATGGGAACGAGTTAATAAATACTTACGTAAATACGTAACAAATCGTATCTAATGCCACGCAACAGCATTTTGAGACTCCATGTGGTAAAATGTGGCCTCAAAATTTTAGGTTTTCTTTCCATGGCCACTCCAGGCTTCCGTATATCTGAACAAAAAAATAAAATAAAGATTTTAATCTAGTTTATCTCTCATTCTTTATTGCACAATAATAAAAGTGATGGGCACACTCCACAGCAGAGACTAAATGTGACAACCTGCATGTTCACAGATTTAAACTGAACTGCAGAGTAACACAAACAGTGACAGTCAACAGGATCTCAGTGTTTATGTTACTGAGCTCCCTCTCTGTGCATATTACATGAGAGCTATGGGAATCTAAATGCAACAATATTGACACTGTGCAATTAGTGGGTCATTAGAGGAAGAAGAGCAGGAGCTTCATCACTGGAGTCCGGACTGGCTGATGGAGAACACACAAGCAAATAAACTTCACACACACACGTTCAGTCACCCACCCCCACCTTCACACACACACACACACACACGCACACGCACACGCACACGCACACACAGTCTCCCTGCTCCTCATCCAAATCAGAGGGGGGTGGTAATGGGAGGAGGGGGTCTCTAATGAAACAGAAGGGGCATGGGGCGAGCAGGGATTTCTAAAGCCTGCCATCACTGGATGCCTTGACCCCGGCTCAGCTCCTCACCTTCTTGGCCCC